CAACCAGGGGTCTTACAACCAGGGGTTCTTACAACCGGGTGTTTTTACAACCAGGGGTTCTTATAACCAGGGGTCTTACAACCAAGTGTTCTTACAACCAGGGGTCTTACAACCAGGGGTCTTACAACCAGGGGTTCTTACAACCAGCGGTTTTTTGACCAGGGGTTCTTACAACCAGGGGTCTTACAACCAGGGGTTCTTACAACCGGGGTTCTTACAACCAGGGGTTCTTACAAGCAGGTGTTCTTATAAGCAGGGGTCTTACAACCAGGGGTTCTTACAACCAGGGGTCTTACAACCAGGGGTCCTACAAGCAGGGGTCTTACAACCAGGAGTTCTTACAAGTAGGGGTCTTAGAACCAGGGGTCTTATAACCAGGAGTTCTTACAACCAGGGGTCTTACAAGCACAGGTTCTTACAACCAGGGGTCTCACAATCAGGGGTGTAAACAACCAGGGGTCTTACAGCCAGGGGTTTTTACAACCAGGGGTCTTACAACCAGGGGTTCTTACAACGAGGCGTCTTACAACAGGTGTTCTTACAACCAGGGGTCTTACAACCAGGGGTTTTTACAACCAGGGGTCTTACAACCAGGGGTTCTTACAACCAGGGGTTGTTACAACCAAGGGTCTTACAACCAGGAGTTCACACATCCAGGGGTCTTACAACACGGGGTTCTTACAACCAGGAGTCTTACAACCAGGGGTTCTTAGAACCAGGGGTTCTTACAACCAGGGGTTCTTACAACCAGGGGTCTTACAACAGGGTTCTTAGAACCAGGGGTTCTTACGACCAGGGGTTCTTACAACCAGGGGTCTTACAACCAGGGGGTTCCAAGGGTCTTAGAACCAGGGGTTCATCCAGGGGACAACAGGGGTTCTTACAACCAGGGTCTTACAACTAGAACCAGGGTTCTTAGGGGTTGTTCAACCAGGGTCTAGGGATGTTCAGGGGGCAAGAGATGAGACCTTATTTCATGACCCTGATTGATTTCATTTGGCATACACTCTTTTTTTCTATAAGAATATGTTTTATAAGAATATTGAGACTGAAATTTATGAAATTTTAAGAATATTTTAAGAATAAACCTCAGGCCGAGAAGTTGAAAAGGACCCAATTGTGTGTTTGAAAATCTGTAAATACAGTACAATAAATTTATGTTTTCACTAAAAAGCAAGAACACTGGCAATTGAAACCCAAATACAGTCTAAAGCCAGAATACCATATGCTAAATTTATGATTAAAAATACTTCAAGAATATTTTCACCCTAAAATCAACAGAAAAATAAGAATAATCAGCCTGCCCTGGGCCGGAAAAACAACATTCTTATATAAAAAGAAGAGAATAAAACTAACATGAATAAAACTACCATGGAATAACTCTGAAAAAAAAACTGTTGGTACCCTTATTGCCAACCTTCACACTTCCAGTCCACCCCCAGTCCTTAAAGGCCCCCTTTCCATGACACTAAAATGGTGAGTTGTTTTGCCCTGTTTAAAACTCAAAACCCTTAAAACCATACCCTATTCAGCTGAACCTGTAGACCCGTTTAGGTCAAATAAGGGTGTTTGCGCCATTTTGATCTGAAAACGGGTATAGATTTTGCCCATTTTGGTCTGGAATTGAGTATGGTTTACAAAGGAACTAAGGTTGTTCATCAATGTGTTTGTCATTTCAATTCCAAATGAATCAGAAAGAAAGTGTAATACGCAAATTCGAAATGGATTTTAACAAATCTCTTTGTTGCGGTTTTAATCTCAGCAATGATGACATAATTTTTGTTTTATGTGAACATGTAATGTTGAGTTTTGTGACCACCTCCAGGTCTGAAAACGGGTGGGGAAAATGACATTTTTTGGTCTGAAATAGGGTCAGAATTTGGATAGCCTGCGTAGCTGGTGGTATTGTGTAGTAGTCTAGTGAGATTTGGCGGCGGAGCCTTTGTAACATAATCGAGTGAGATTTGACAACCGCCTCGTCCCTACTCCCTTTTTTTGGAACACAGCTCCGCCGCCAAAACTTCAATCTCGCACCCACACAATACCGCCAGCTACGCAGGCTAGGATTTGGAGAACTGGGTGGCACACCCCACCAAGAATTCCCAGGAGTACCCCCCGGGGCTGCCCCATCAGCCCTGGTAAATCTGCTAGTAAAATTATTGCAGAAAACTTAATACTTGCAAATTTGGACGAAGGAAAGGTATACAACAAAGAATCATTGACAACAAGTATTCTTTCTGAACGACTCTTTAATAAGACTGTCAACAGTAAAATATAAACAATTATTTTTTTTCCATATTTTTCAATATGTCCATACTGAGTTCTAGTTGTTGTTATGCACACAATCTTTCACTGTGCAACTGCTTGTGGCACTACAAATTAATGTACGTTATGTCTACACTAAAGCCAACAGAAAAGTTGTTTGATTGAGAAGAAGGACATACTTCAAAGCTCCTTCATTTCACTTTTTTAAATTCTCCCTTCACAGTAACAATGCCTACTGCTGTCTAGAGATGGCTTACTATCCTTTCACATTGTACAAAAATGGTCCTGAATGATCCAGGACGCAGCTCAAAGATGGATCAATGCACACTTATGTTCGCAAAATAAATGCACGCGCAAGATGGCTCGATATGATGATGATGGTGGCTTCATCTTACTGGTGGTTCATATAGGTTCTTTCCAATGATGGCCCCATGATAGCTCTATCATGGCCTATGCTGGTGTGATGTTGCTGGAGAGCATTGGTAGTCACCAAAGAATCTGAGTTCTTCAGCTAACTTGCGTATAGCTTAGAATTTTTCTGCTACAAGAGAAAACCAATTTTCTCTTTGTTTAAACTTGACTCAGACTCCTCTTTCTTGAGAACTTTTAAGAGCTCTTTGTTCAGCTTTTTTCCAACCAAACCAGCGGTCTAAAAACAAGAGGAAATCCCAAACTTGTGAAACATCCAGAAAAAGATAAAAACATTTGAAGTGAATGCTTAAAAGGAATCATTAAAATTAATGGACATGACAAGGAATTTAAGCTGCAAACAAACTACATAAATGACAAAACAGTTGACTCTAGATCTTTTTCTCAACAGCATAGAACTTCCTTAAAGGCAATTCCAGAAATTGTTAAATGATGTTGATGAGTTGCAGGATATACAGTGTGATAAGTAAATGCATCAGCATGTTTAATACAACCATCAACTTAATATCCCTCACGTCTGACCGCCACCAAGACATGTAAAGTCTTGTTGGTTTGAAAAATGAGGTTAACACCCTAAATAATTCCTTACATGTGAAGGGTTAATAATTTTTTCAGACTTTGCACATGGCACGGTTTACACAAGGTCTTTCAAAACATGTACTTTCAGGTTCACAACTGTGTGCAAAAGAGCATGCCAGCTATCTAAGGACATTGAACGTCAACCTAGACACGCAGGGCTCCTAAGCTGGGCAAAGCAAAAGAAAAACAACAACAACATTTTGGTAAGTGCCAACAGGCAATAAACCTGATGTTATAAATTAATCAAAAGTACTTTCTTGCCTCAATCATCTCAAATATAGAGTCAGCATCCAGAGCTCCCTGGCCAACCTTCTGCATGGCACAGATGTTGTTTTCTCCATTTACTGACACCAGGAGCTGAACAAGACTACAGGCTTCCTCTTCAAGACTAGCATCCACAACATGCCGATGGCCAATCTAAACACAAAATGACGCTACAGTGAAAAATCCCAGAACCTTTCAACTACAGATACTGAAAATCATAAGGTCCAAGATTAGAGCTTGTTCTCCACAGACTACATCATCTCTACAAGAAGAAGTGTTACTTAAACAATGTCGATGAGCTGCAGAATACACATTGTGATAAGTAAAATACAGTAATATCAGCTTGTTTAATACATGCAGCCATCATGTTAATATCCCTCACGTCTGACCGCCAACAAGACAAGTAAATACTTGCTGGTTTGAAAAATGAGGTTAACACTCAAAATAAATATAGCTGACTATTGTAAATTAACTCCTAGCGGTTAAGATCACAATGCCAAAATAATATTAGACTGCCAGCAGTCTCTTTTTTATTTTGATTCACAGTAGACTGAGAGCACACATGAAGGGTGATCGGGAGGAAAGAGGGTGGAAGCCCAAGTGAAGTAAAGCCCAATCTCCACCCCACTATCTTCTCCTTTTTACCATTAATTTGCATAATTTTACTTTTTTGTTTGCTGCACATGGCTCTGAGGAAAGAAGGACAAGTGCTTGTGGTCAAAACAGTTATTATCATTCGAAGCAAATTTTTCTTTCTTTTCATTGGCCGAGAACTCACCTCGTGACCTGCGAATAACTGCCTACAAATAATGGTCTGCCCATGCGCAAAGCCGTCCAACTGTGTTTGGCTGCAAATAATATTCTGCACATGCGTAAAGGAAACTGTGCTTTTGTCCTTCTTGCAATCGCTCTTGCGTGAAAATGGCAGATTGCTTCGCTTCCCGAGGATATTCATTAAAAAAACAAACTCGGTGATCGAATGATAAAACAATAATTATTGAACTCGGTTATTGCAAAATATTGTGATTTGTCAGTGTCTCGCAGATAAATAATTATTTGCCTCAGCTGTTAGCTTCGGCAAATAATTGATCTGCTTGCCACAGACAAATCACGATATTTTGCTTAACCTACTCCAATAATATTATTGTTAATTATTGATCACTTGAACAGATATAACAAACACTCCAAGAAGAGTTTCATGTGATGTTCAAACACCTCAAGTTCATGGTTGAACCACCTCACTAGTAGACCATGTTATGGGGGCCAGATTATTTGTCCCTCCTGCTTCAAAATCCTGTGGTGTTACCATTCAAGTGAATTGAGGACTATCCCTTGCACAGAGATTATTAAACTATAACAGTTTTGACCGTAACAGCTGGTTTTATTCAAATCAATTACCTTGCTCATTGTCACTGTTAAAGGAATTGAAGAAACATCCAACCTTGTACAGTCATGTGGATCATCTGATATTTCAAGTTCCACCTCTCCTTCTTCTGTTGACACAGCCACATTTGGAATTCTATGTAAAATAATAAAAAAATATCATAGTGAATTCAAGATGATGCAACAAACAAAATGTCAATAATAAATAATTACATTTTATTTATAAATTTTAAGGATAACATCATTTTTATACCTGGTATTATAAAGGGCTGCTTTCACTGCCATGGACAGGGAATCAAACAAGTTTCCTCCGCATTCCAACACCTAGAACATATAAAAACACTTCATTAAGCAAGCCATACATGAAGACGACAAGTCTTGCAATTTGTGACAAAAATCTTGATTTACTTTAGTGTCAGTAAGTAAACAAAAAAATCAATATGGTGGAACAACTTAAAAGTACAGTGTGATAATATAGTTCTTCAAAAGACAGAGAATTTCTAAAATAAGGAGGGGGTGAGAGAGGCCATGTGCAGTGGAACAAGGTGGCTGTGAGTGCCACGCCATGACAATCAAATCCCTCTGAACGTAGATCATTCTGAGGCAAGATTGGTGTGTTTAGACACTTAAGAAGACAGCCGGCATTTTGTGATGCCATCACTGGTTTTCCTGCGAAGTGGCGTCTGAGAAAAGAGTGCAGAAATTCCATACTGATGATGCCAGATCTGGGTAGTGACACATCATAAGTATGGAATTTCTGTGATCATTTCTCACACGTCATTTCGCAAGGAAATCAGTGGTGGCCTCATGCTTGGCACTTCGAAGGTCAATTAACTTTGCATGTATAGGACTGTGTTACCATGGAAACAGTAAAGAAATAATTATACTTTTAAACAAGTGGCATCTATTTACTAACATTTCTTAATCATGGTATTGATCACAACATATTATACAATTATTGTCAATTAAAAGGCTAGCTTACCAAAGCATCGATATACAAAACCCAACACTGTTTTCCAGGAAGAATACACAGTGAGTGCAGATCAATGGCTGATTTATGATTGTATGCTCTCTCTAAAGTTTTTGCGAGCATTGCTCCAAGCTCATCACCTCCTCTTCCTTCAAATTCAGGGGAAGCATTTGCAGAACTTAAGGAGAAAAAGCAACAAGTCAGTACGGAAGCAGAAGTACAGAAGAAAGCAAGATCAATGGGTGGGCTTTACTTTGAAAAGATGAAACTTTTTAAAAACATTATTCTGCATGTAAATCTGACTGATTTTTTGAAAACCAACCTACCAAAATTTGCAGTCATTTGAGTGAAAAGGTGTCGAAAGGCAGGTTACTTAAGCCCAAGAACGGCTCCAAAATCATGGTAACAAAGGAAAAGGAAAGGAGAAAAAGAATGAGCAAGGAGAAGAAAAGGAGGAAAAAAAAAAAAAGCAATGGTTGCACTCTTAGTTTTTATAATGGCTACTTTAGAGATAGTTTTTGGCCGAAAAAACTGTTGGACGCAAATTTAGGGTCATTTGGCGGTAACGTTATCAAAAATCCAGCTAGAAATATATTCTACATTAATTTTACCTAATTAGAGAATGTTTCATGATTTTAGAGCCTTTATGGGCAGGAATTTTCTCAGCTATAGGTCAGTTTAAGATGGTAACAACTACTTCTCATAACCACTCTATGAAAATCTTAATGGGATTAGAAAAAAGAACTTGTATCTAAATGACGATAAACATAGAAATAAAAAAACACCTCACCAATCAACAAAAAACTCAACATAGCCCTGGTCAGGTTTCTGTATGCGAGGTTCTCCAATTTCTGCTTTAACTCCAACCAAAACATCAGTTTTAGACTATAACAAAGCAAAGTATTGGACTCCAGACAGACTGCATGTGTGACTTCAATGAAACAAAGTTAAAGAGAACGAAGAAAATGTGTCTTTTTTTAAAAGAAAACAAGGCCCCAAGGGTATGTTATGGCTCAGTCAATTCCAAGCGTGCCCATCACTCCTGGCAGTTGTCATCTTGTAGGTCCTAGTGGAGGGGATATGTCAGAAAACCTCCGCCCTTGGGTGGGCCATTTGTCAATTCTTTTAAAAGCGGTTAACATTGCTCCTTTTTCAATATTTCGCTAAAAAAATATACCTATTTAGATAGCTTTATAAAGAATATTTTTAATACCTATGCTTTAAAAAGATTATAAGCATGGTTTTCGCTCCATCACTTCCCTACCCCACAGCATTTTTGCATCCGTCTAAGAAATTGGTGGGGGTGGGGGTACATTGACTCCTGCATTTGTTTTTAATCTACCTGTTTGCTGCAAGTGTTACCTGTATCCACCCTTCTTTTTTAAGGATTTGGACAAACCTAAGTGCCCATAAAATAATTTCTGTCATTCTGACCACAGGCCGTATAATCCCCCGGCTTTGGCTTTACTGAGTTTGTACTATATGAGCGATGGAATAATAAAGTTAATAAGTTAATACTATTGAGAAAGGGGTTATGACTTTTGGTCTCTCTGGGGTCAAGAGATCGCCCACAGCAAAGAGATGCCTGGTATCATAATTGACTATGCAGTGTAAATCCTTAAAGTTATGCATGAAATTAAGCTTAAGTTTGGGAAGGGCACCATATGCATTTTTGCCTGCCGAACTTACATAGCAAGGCAAAAAACAATTACCAATCGAAGTCTCGCAGATCCACTTGTGTTGGAAACAATACCAGTTTCTACTTCAAAATGTCTGTAATCCTGACAAGACCTTCCATCTGAACGGAAATCTTGTTCAATTCCACCAACAATGTAAGCCCGTTCAAACGTGGACACCGTGGTATCCGCCATGTTGAAGTTGCAACCTACATGACGTGGTAACCTGGCACTCTATGTAGCCGCTGTTCACTATTTTTTAAGAGAATGTAAACTGACAGAAACGATGTGAACGATGGAAACTTACAAGGAAGTATGTGAAAAAGACTGAAGAAAGGTTTCCTCTTCGGCGAAACTTGCATTCTGGAAACCTAAGCTTTCCGCTCTTTTAGAGACAAGTATGGCAACAGGCGGTTATGGCTCCCGTTCAGAGGGTGCAGAAGAAAATTTCTCTTGCCCTGTTTGTCTAGAAATTCTGGAAAACCCTATCTCGATACCCTGCGGTCACACGTAAGTGTCAGCCATCGAAATCTTGTTGTTTTAACGAAATGAGCATAGTTTATCTTAAAATTTAGCATTCGTTCTTTACTGTTGTTGAAAAAGCAGCAACTTTGACCCAAGGCAACAAACGGCCCATTTTTGAACTTCCGTCATGCATCGATGAAACCGGAAGTAACGATCGCCGTCATTGATAGAGTAATTTAACCTTAGAATAATTTGGAATACAATACCCCGAATAAAACTAAGAAAAAACAAAACAAAACAAAAAAAAAACAATCAATCCACATGTATAACATGAACTTTAAAATTGCAGTTCCTAGATGCCCAAAATGAAATTAGGTAGTGTATCCTTTTTTCTGTGGAAACTGATAGTTTTTCTCTCTTTCAAATTCAGATTCTGCCGTGACTGTTTGTCCTCTTGTGAAAATGCGTCTGGATCATCCACCTGTCCTGTATGTCGTACTAGCTTCAATGCACATCAGAAGTTTAATGCTAGAGATATTGAACAGCAGATATATCAAAGCCGTGGTTACTGTTCTGGCTGCAACAGACGGGTAACACTGTATTATGCAACTATCAATGTTGATCTGGAGGGGGGGAGGGGAAGGCCAGGCAAAGGCCGAGGATTTGAACTCGAAGCAATTTTTGACGTCAAATGCCCTACCCCTGGGCCATCATACTTGGTCAAAAGAGAACAAATTCACTACCCCTCCAACTGACTAGAGGCCAAATATGTTTCATTAAAGGGAGCAACATACCAACTTTTTAAGAAAGCTGCATCCATTTATTTTAACAAGTGTCATTAAAATGCTCTGGCGAAATGCCAGCATCAGGAAGGAATGTTCTCCAGCTACGCAATTTAACAAATTGGTAGCTGTTAAACAAGCAAATTTACTTGCTTTCAAACCTGGGCAAAACATTTGTGTCATGCAGTCGTACTGAATAAGAGCCTAACTTCCTAAAGCTATAAAGTATATGAATGGATGTATTCATTTAAGTAAGAATAGAAAGGATACCATGTCACACTCTCCTTGGCTGCCATCTTGCACATGTCCATAAAAAAATACCCACAGATCCTTGCAGGAACAGTGGCCACCATCTTTGTTTACCAATCCCCCTAGTAATGTAACTGTTAACCAGCTGGTAACTAGGTCTTTTACAGCTTCCAATCCAAGATGGCATCCGTAATCGGATGAAATTCAAAAGTCAACACCACCCCGGACTTGGCAATAATCAAAAGTCCCTACCACGGGCCAACTTCCTCTGTCAAATCCCCGGCCTTCCCCCCTGCCCAGATTAACATTCAATCTTGATGGGTGCATTACTTGTCCCTTACCCTTGCTTTCGCTGTTGAGGACTGGCCTCCTCTTCTTACCCCTGAAGATTAAATAAAATAATATTGCATTCATCCCTGAGAACTTCCTTGAAATATGGGTCTACCCCTTGATGAAGATGGGTCTACCCCTGATGAATTTCATGAACATTATAGCTTCACGTCCGAATAATTCCTTATTTTTTACTCTTCCCCTAAAGAAATCCTCAATTTTTATAGTTGGTACAGATGTTAAAATGCAATTAGCCCAATCACTTCAACTTAACCCACCAGTAAAGTCAGTCAATTTGGCAAAGTTAGACATGTTTTTCTAACAAGTTTATGACAAAAAATGATGAAATCTGAGTTCCTAACAAGGAATGGTATTACACCTTTATTGCTATTTATTCAAAATATTTCTCCAACTCTGATGGCACAAATTTCCTGGCTAATTCTTCATATTCAGCTAACCATTGATCAAATTTTAAAGAAGTTTGTGATATCCAATAAAATGATGTGAGTAGTGCAGGATATCACCAGAAAAAACCAATGTAATGGAAAAGCTCTGGGGACAAGGTTGTGTTAGCCCTGCTGTTTTGGTAGAGCTGGAGAAAATGAAATAGAAGTCCTCGTGGTTTGCATAAAGAAAAAAACATAGCAAGAATAGCAAAACTATGACTTGATGGCTGATGGCAACTGCTATTTGAAGAGCATAATGTGCTAGTAAGACTAAATATCTCAGCTGTAATATTCTGATTTTGCCACTGGAGGAGGTTGTTCAGCCTTGGCAGATAACACACCCCTCAATCTGCATAGTAATTCTTCAGATCATGTCATGTTTCATTATTTCAGTTTCCCATGTCCAGATTAAGAGCTCACAGATCTTCATGTTCCAGTTTGTCTACTTTACCTGTTGCAGCCACTCGTCAGCCTTTTCCAGGGTAAGGTGCCAAAATAAGTTGCGTCACTATACTTTTTTTTCTTCTATTACTTTCTAAACTCCTGTGTGCAGACACACTCTTGTGTGTAGCAAAATCAGTTTCCATAACTAGAATGTCTCAGTCATAGCTTACAGTTATTATCCTTGAACAAGAGGTAATTACTAGCAGTATAAAGAATAGATGGCTACGCTTGGCATTTTTAAGGTATAGTGGGGAAAAAAATACCACTGTACTAAAATTACCATTTTTTTTTGTCCTATATACTATCAACACACACACAAAAAAACATTGTACTGAAGATCAAGAGAGCCCAGAAAGTAAAGAAGACTAAGGATATTTTCACACTCTACTGGATAGCTCTTGTGCCTACACGAAAACCACACAAGATAGGCTTATATCTGTTCACACATAAGATTGGTGATTTTGGTGTGATATCTGTAACTTAGTGGAGCTATACTTACTGCAGTCTCGAAAACACATTGTCACATATCAAAGTAGCCTGCGTAGCAAGTGTTTCTGTTTGGTTTCGGAGCAAAGAAAGACCAAGGAACAGGATTTTTGGTTTGGCCATGCAAGAAATAAAACGAGAGCCAAAAAATGAAAGAAGGGGGAGAGGGAGGCCGAACATTTTATTTGCTCAATTATGACGGCATCAAATGTCGGTGCACAAACTCAGGCGTGACAGGCCAAGTGGGCGGTTTTTAAATCCCAGTGTTTGTCTGCTAGCGTTTCCTTTCTTTCTTCCCCATCCCCTTCCTGCTATTTTACTTGTGCCATTTTTCGCGTGGTCTTTGACGCTCGTTCCTCATTCTTTGCTCCTAAACCACACGGAAACGCTGGCTGTGCAGGCTGCTGTCGAAGAGGTTTGCCACTCTTTGACACAGTGTGAGCATGTATTCAGATCATAATGGTAGTAAATGAGTAAGAGGGAGGATGGGAACCCATTGACACTGAAGTGAAAAGTCAAAAATGAGGAGTGGGTCTCACTACAGCAAACCCTTGGCCAACTGCTCCATCACAATGTTTGATGTATTTCATTGACTTATTAGGGAGCTTTTAAAAAGAGCAATGATGACAGCGACGGCAACAGCAAAAAAACAAAAGGTTTAGATCGGCAGAACAACAATCACGCTAGTGCCTAATTTCACCTTTTGTTGAGGATGGGAACACACAACACCAGCTTTCTTTTTCTTTTCCTGAACTTTGATACGGTGGTTTAGAATTCAACTCAAAAAAAATTTGACAACATTTGACGAATTGAACGAGATGGAATAATTGCAATAAAGTTTGAGGCAGCGCGAATTCACTTTTTAAGTGACGTTTTCATAGACGTTGTCGTTGTCGTTGCTTAAAGGAGCTGTGTCACGAAATTCAACTGTATTAGGTTATTACAAAATGCCTTTTAAAGTAAGAGAAACATAAAAATAACCGCTTAAAACATTAAAGGAAGGTTAAAGTAACACAACAGATACAACAGATTCCACGGATGGGCAAAACTGAAGAAGATTGAAACGGATTTAAATTAGGGTTTTTGAAAGCTGTTCAGCCTAACAGTTTTTCAAAGTTTATCTCTGCTGTTTGCAACTTCAAAAATAATGCTCAAGAGACATATTTGTCTGTCTCGAATTTCTGATTTTCTCATTTACATGAAATGTCTTTGCTTACTTTAAGTTCCATAGCGATTGAGGGCGAGTAATTGACAAAATTAAACAAAATGAACTGGACTGCCGTGACACAGCCCCTTTAAGCTCCGTATTTTTTCCAATTCTGTGCTATTTCCATTCATACTGTACGAGATAGCTTTTTATGTTGGCACAAAAAGCTATGGTATAGTATAGACATTACCTAAATCATTCCCTTGATATGCGTCTATCTGCGGAGTTTATATACATGTTAAGGGCAGGGCCCATAAACAGAGCTGTCCACCCATTTTCAACTTCTTTTTTGATGTTTATTTTTCAGGGTTGTAAACCGATCAACATTCACCTGCCCGTACTGCTACCAGTCAAATTTAGACAACAAAGGATTATTACAACATGTAAACAACAATCACAAAAATGAACAGCAATCTGTGGTGAGTGACCTCTTTGACATGTTTGGTGTATGAGAAGAAATTATGAAGATACTGTGTTGTTTGAAAATCGCAAAGAAATTTTTTAAATATTATCCCTCATTTTTCAGGTTTGTCCAATCTGTGCCAACATGCCATGGGGGAATCCCCATCAAAAAAGTGGGAACTTTGTCCAACATCTTAATTTACGTCACAAATTTGAATATGATACATATGTGGTAAGACAACTTTGATCTAGCATTTAATACCAGTTTATATTAAATTGAGTTTATGTTAGCTTCTGATCTCAAGGGGATGTCCTGGGACTCTGAATGCATTGGTTTTGGGTGGGAAAGCTAGGACTCTGAAACTTTTTGCCTGAGACATTGGAGTATGTTCTTGTCTTACCATAGACTATCGATAATAACTACACACTCTAATGATCATACCACCTGATACACAGTGAATTCAGAAGGTTTCAAAATAAAAGTTTAAAGTTTGGAAGGAAGAGTTGCAAACACGAAGTGTTTGGGCAAGGCCCTCCAAGGCCACCTAAGACGTGTCCATATACGGTGGAAGCCCACCTTATGGCCACCTCAGTACTACAGTCCCCTTGTTATTAACGCAGTTCCACTGTAGTAATATATTATAAGGCCATACTCCCGCCCAGGGGTCTGATATGTCTGTGAATTGCCACTCTGATCACTGAAGGAGTGTCATAATGTTTGTTTTTTCCTCTCACAGGATTTCAGTAGTGATGAAGATGCTGTTCTTCAGCAAGTTCTGGCTCAATCTTTACACGATAATTGAGTGAACATACTTTAATCTAAACAGTAGTTTCTTGGTGTTGCAGATGGGTGTGATCACCAAATGATGTAATACAAAAAATTGAAAGACCATGGAACAGTACCGGTGAAAATCACAAAACAAAAGTGAACCAACAACAGTTTCGGCAACACCAAGAAAAACCCATTCAAACAGTTCAGCAAATCATCATAAAATTTATTTATCTTAGTTAAATTTTTTGCACAGTTTCTGTCCTCAAGTAAAGCCTTTGTAGTTGGTGAAGATAAATTTCAGCAGTATTTATAATAAATCAAATACAGAAAGAACAGTCACTGATGGAGAAATTTGGGAATTATTAACCATTCACAACCCTAAATATTATGAATAACTTATTATTTTTTGGCTGGATTGTAATAATGCTTAAATAAGGGCTATTTGTTTGGCAAACTAGAAATCAAAACATACATTTACAAAGAAAATATTTAAGCAAAAAAAATTTATAGTGTCCTCTATTTGGTTTTATGTTCCATTTTTTAATGAGCTGTACAAAATTTCAGAGATAGCTCATTCTAACCCACCACTTTTAAAACGTTTTGCTAGAATGTTACGATACATTTTGAGATTAAAGTTTTTACTATTTGAACTCTCTGGCCTGTGATCTTGTTCTCTTCCTCTGATGTTGTTTTGGTGTTGTGGCAGTAATTTTTGGGAAGGGCATCCCAGATTGTGAACAGAGCTTCTTCAGAGCTTTTTCATAAGCAGTGTTCAATCTAGCTGCCTGCTGAAGAGCGTACTTTAAATCCTCTATCTCCTCAAAGAATCCCTGTACAATGCAAAAAACATCAGCCTTAGACTGTATGTAGATACAATCGACTCCCGATAATTCGAACCTTCAAGGGAAAGAGAAAATAGTTCGAGTTACTGAGAGTTCGAGTTATCAAGGGTAGAATTATGTAGAAAGCGATTTGAAGGGAACTGTAGATTGGTTCGAGTTAGTGAGAGGTTTGAGTTACCGGAATTCGACTGTATTTAGTCCTGTTTCCTTTGTATAATTTGTGCATCAGCTGACACTAAGGAAGTAGACACACCGGAACATTTCCATGTTGATATTTGGGCACAGGTTCTAGTAAAGGTCAATCTATTCTTAATGCTAGTCTCCTTTGCATTGCGTGACAACCCTAATAATTATTAGGGTTGTCACGCAATGCTCCTCCCCTCTAGCATCGCATGATGACCCTAATAACGGCTGCAAAGGACACTATCTTAACTCTTACCCTATCTAGCATCTTGAGCTCATCTGTAAAGAAAACAATAAAAGGATTCATGTTAATCAAGGATTTTACTGGTATGACCTTCAAAAAGGGCAAACTCTTCAGACTAATTTTTACTGCACGGAAATTGAGATAAGATCTGAGAAGTGTTTTCCTGTGTCAATCCTACCTACAATGAGAAGTTTCTGTTGTATTAAAGTACCTTTGAACTTTTTCCTTTCTTTTGCAAGTCTGTCTCTTTCTTTTGAAACCTTGTTGAGATCAGCCATTAGATCTTGACAAATTGAGAGAAAAACTTTTATGAGTCAGAACAATATGTTATATGTTCATTGTCTTTTTCACTGTGGAGGCTTTGTGGTTGACCTGTTTATGTCTTAGAACTTGTTTCTGGGGTCCAGGTTTAAGCTTGGCTGTATACTGTTAAGTAACATTGGCTGTTCCCTTAAGCTAGAAACTCTGCATCATATTCATGAATTTGTCTTTCTCCAACCCAGGATTATAAATGGTCTGGCAGTAAAACTACTGGCAGGTATGACTGAGTAACCCTGTAGTTGTGGAGCATTTCATCATGGGAAAGTATCACTTTAGAAAATATACTACTGCTGGTGCTCCATGCTCCTAAAACTGGGATACCGGTAAGTTCTGGCAAAGTGAGCACTTATGGGCTTGTAATGTACCTCCTTTTCTTTACCTTTTTCAGGTAGTGGTCAGATGTGTGTATGGTAACCATCAGGGATCACCTGAGGTGCAAAAATTCCCATGTTGTACATAACAGATTTTGTCTGCCAGTCAGCCCTGTCAAACTCTTTTAATAAAATTGTTTATTTATTTTAGATTAATAATTTGCTGATTCTTGGCAGGGTAATTGCAACAGCATGAGCCAATAATATTATCGTATGTGGGCCCATTACAGCCCCCCCCCTGCACCCCCTCCATGAGAGATAAATCACACCAACCGGGGTCTATTACTACTCCTTTTTTTAATGGCAGTGTAGGTTCCTTTACATCCCCTTCCCAACAACATGATAAGGAAGGATGAAGGAGACAACGACAAAGGCTTAATGCCTGACTGCCACAGACAAGATATTAAATAACAGCCAGCATGATTGTACTAGTATGGACACTGGTTGTTGGTCTGGCTGGGGTTTCGAAAGTCTGCGGTCACTTGTTTGGCAGACTGGGGATGCAGTTACAAAGCCAGAAATTAAGGGTGAAGTCAGTTACTAAGTTTGATGCCAAAGATTGTTGCCAGGCAAAATCATGATCAATCCCAATAATAAATTGGGATTATTTGATCATGATATGTGAAGTGTTATATCCTTCAAAGGAGATATGTAAATTGTTATGTATTTCCTACCTCTCTTAGACGGAGTAAGTCTTTCTTTAATTCCCACTGCATTTAGCCTTGTCTGGAGAGCCTCATTCTCTCCCTGTAGGCTTTCTATTTTTCTTTGTGCATCCTGGAGTTTCTTTTCCAAGTCTCTATTTTCAAGCTGTGTATGCATGAAAGTCAGATTCAATATTAACATCTCTCAGGTAGGATGCAAATGGTTATCATTAAATACATGCGTATCAGGCTTATTTGAAACTCACACTTAGAGTTGCAATTTGTTCCACTTGAGCTGTGTTTGTTTTTAGTTCTTTTTGGTACCTCTTCATCAGATTGTTATGCATAGACAGCATTGTTGTTAAAATTATAAATTAAGAAATTAAAGGGAAATTAAAATTATGGAGTGCCCTTTATGGTGATTTTTTATTGAAATTGTCTCAAAACTGTCATTTTTCGTCTTTGTTTTGAAACTTTTGATGTAATTTCCACTTTGAATTCTCACTTTCAGGACTGACAGTCATTTTTGTAGCCTGCAATGTGTGTAAACTTTTTGTTTGAGTGAGAACTCAGTGTCAGCTGTGAATGAAGTTGCAGTCGAAAGGCCGCTAAAAAAATCTTTACTGTTGTCAATGTATTCTTTTCCTTTTTCAAGCGCTCCTACTCCTCATAGCTGGGAAAATCCCCCTCACGCTATTTTTAAGGATGATCCGTGCACTTTGGGTTTCCACTGCAATACTCATTCACTTGCTTACTGAAGTTTACTTCAGGGGTGAACAGGGTTGTCATTAAGAGCTGGGGGCCAGGGATTTTCCCCGGCTACTAAGAGAGTGGCCCCCGGCTACTTTAATAATTTAGAAAATAGAAGAAAAATAGAACCAAAAGAAATCTCTAGCCGTTTGATTCCCCGCCTACTTGTTGTGTTTACCCGGCAACTTGAAATCTTAGTGACAACCCTGGGTGAATCCATTTTTTTTTCTTAGGAGTGAGTGCACTACTAAGGAACTACCATGATTTTAACTACCATTTTTACAGCACTTAACATAAATCCTTCAACCTCGTCTCACGTTTTACTTCAACACCAATAGACCACAAAGTTTTTTTGGCAGAATACCAGTTGTATTAGAAAACCGCAGGTCATCTCGGGGGGGGAGGTGTGCACCCCTCGCACCCTCCTCCTAGATCCACCCCTGTACTTAGTCATTTTATTTTATTGATTCAAACTAACTTGGCTGTACTTTCAAACTGTTCATCAACTGCTTTTCTTCCTCTGTTGCTGTTTGGATTCAGTTGCATGGCTGAACCAGACTGAACCCTCCTCACCATACCGGCTGTTCTTGGGTGTCTGTCATCAGTTTGAACTTGAACACTTTGGAAAGAAAATGTCAGAATCTGTGCAGAAAACTTAAGACAATTTTATCAGAACAACTCCCTTACCCCTCCAATGTATACAAAAAACAACGTGATAAAAAGTATATTGCAAATTAAACGAAATGGCCTCCATCGTAGCTACAACGACTACTGGTATTTGTAATTTAAAAATAACCTCAAGTCAAGAATAAGGGCCCGCTGTAATTGGCCACAGCTGTTGCGGTGTCCCTGCCAACGTTCTTTCTTTTTGTTTGTTTGTTTTTTGGTGAAGCTATAAAATAAAATAAAATAAGTTACCTTCTTGTTAAAGTCTGCATGAATTCGTTGTTCCGAAATTGTTCTTTCAGTTCGTTTAGTTCCCTCTCTAACTGGCCATTACGCTTTGCAAGCTTCTTGTATTTCTTTTTGATGCGAACATTTTCCGAGGAGAGCTGAAAAAGAACTGTCTAGCTACAGCCCATAAATGTCGAACTCATTTGATCTTATAAACTAAAACACAGCTGTTTATTAGCTAGCCGAAACATTTTATAGAAAATAAAAATGGGCTAATTAGATAAAATAAACCAATACTATGAGAATAACATTATACTTACATATAAGCAGTTATGAATATCAGGCATTGACATTGTGTTTAAACTTAAAAAATCTCCACAAACATTTCCTCAAGAAAATTTAAAATTGGCCGCCATTATTGTTTTTGTTCGGAAAACCGCTGGCTATTATAGTGAAAGGAAGTCATATGCGCCCGCGACCCAATCTGTTCCTCCTCGGCGTGGGAGGCTAGTTCCTCCGTTGGTCTCATGTTTCTGTACCTGATTACAGCATGATTTTGCACGTTTTAAAAACAGGATTTGGAAAAGGGACTGTTTTAAGCCACCCCTGTAATCAAGAGAATTTTTTGGTCGACCTCACCGTCTCTTACAAGCTCTTGTCGTAAATTAATATTTCATCATAAATATCACGCAAGAGACTTGCGTCTCGGAATTACACGTACGTGTTAAAAATGCGTGGAGATATCGTTCTTTCTGCCTATTTTCTGTCACTTTCTATTATTTTTGGAAATTCCATGACAGAGGATGAAATCGAAAAATACAGGTACGTATGAAATAAACCTACCGATCACTTCATTAGCGCGCCTCCTGTTTGATCAAGTTCTATTTTAAAAGTGTCCTAATGGGTAAATATAATATTTGAACAATTATGAACTAATAACTAAAAATTACATTGTCGCTTTTTGAGGTTTTTTAAAACCTCTTAATAGACATTCGTTGCGGGAAAAATAGATCGAGAATGTATCTTAGTTCCACAAAGGGGAACAGCTGTTTTGCTTTATACAAGAAAATACAATAATGTATATTGAGTTTGAGGTAAATCCCCAGCTACAAGCAGCCTTAACAAGAACAATAAAGCATAAGTATATACCACTCAGGTGTATTGTGCTCTTTGCACTGTAATTGTTGAGCTGGGAGGTGAAAAGAATTTTTTGTTCACTCCTGAGCAACCATTCCCCCATAGTGCAAAGAAGTATCACACAAGATTTGGGTCATTTGTATGGAATTACCAGAGAGGGATGTAAGGTTGAATCTGCATGGTGCAACCAGCACCTCATAAGCAACCTACTACCTAAGCGACCTGGAATTTTTAGATGGGATTAATTTGCATTTGTCTACAGGTGTAAGTGGGTAAATAGTATAGGGTGAGGGTTCAAGGCTGTGCTCTTAGAAAAATTTCAGGGAGCCCTTGGGCTCCCATGAATTTTAGCGAAGAAACCCGGACCTCAAAGTTGGTCGCCCGAGTACATCTGATGAAGAAGTGTTTTGTATGCACACTCATTTTACTGCTTGCTGATCACAGAACTCAGTAATTCTAGCTTTTGGGTGCGACAAAAACCCTCATGTTGTCCTATGAAACCCATTAAAGTTTTCATGCCATTCAGATTTAAAACGAGAAGCGTGAGCAATGCTGCCGAATTGTTCAGGTTTGAAAGAGGGAGAAGTAAAGATTTCAGCAGCCTCATGTAATTTTCATAAAGATGTCTGGGTCAAACAAAGGACAACTGTGCTTTTTACCAGTAATACTGAAGTTGAAAATAAATTTCAAAAAGTGAATCAATGTGGCGAGAGTGCCAGGCCGGGCGACCGGAAATTTTTTTCACTTACCTGAAGCTATTGTTAGTCGCCTCAGGCAACCAGGTGCTGTTAGAGCACAGCCTTGCCTGTTTCAAGTTATGCTTGAAAATTTTAAATACCTCTGACCTTGGTACTTAGCTTCCACCTTATTGGGCCAATACTCATACAAAAGCAAAAGTATTAGGTGGCAGGGACTACCATGCTCTGGTAAAGCACAGTCCTAGCATATTCTGATGTAAATAAACTAAGGATAACTTTAAACCACAACCAGCAGTTGCCAATTCATATCTTTAAGTATAAGTGGGGGACCAAATTTCGTAACAGGTAGGACTGGCCTCAAAAATACCTTTTCTTGGACCCAATCCCTTAGGTTCTCTACTAACCAATACTTATAGTGTCCTTTTTCATTTTATTTAGACAGAAGACAAAAGCTATGTTTTATCATGGCTATGATAGTTATCTCCAATATGCCTACCCTTATGATGAATTAAAGCCACTATCTTGCAGTGGTCACGACACTTGGGGAAGGTGAGATTTTTGGTCAACCTTATAAATGCACTAGTCAGCTAAAAACCCAAAACTACCAAATCAAGGTAAAGGAGAGGATTACAACGGGTTTTCACTGCCTCAATTTTGGTGATATCACCCACATTAGAATATTATTATTACAAAACATGAGCCCCTGCAGTACTCATTCTGAGATTAAGGAACTTAAGCACCAGATGTTCTTGTTTCACAAACAGCATGGCTGGCCGCGCAGAAATGGATCGGGGACGCGGTTTACGTGCCAAAATGCAAATCATTGAGCAAACCAATGTGAAACCATCACGAAAGCTTACAGAATAATTCATTTGAAATTATCTTTCAAAAGTTTGTGTGAAGTTGTGTTTCTTTCTTGCGAAGAAAACATGATTTCAGACAAAGAATTTGTACTTATGTATGACGAATATCGTCTTCGAAGAACCCAGAATTTGAACCTCTGGTTTTAACCTGAGAATTCGCGTTTTGAAGTTCATGACCGCAACTCAAGAACGTCTTGACATGAGCAGTGGCTTTCATGCTGCAAAAATACTTCCTGTTGGCGTCCGTAGTACCAAGAACGTCTGGTTCTTAAGTTGCCTATCTGCATTCACCTGATGCCAGCAGGGTTCACAGATAAGGCACATAAAGTGCCACAAATATTGATATAATTTGTCAGTGTTTGTATGTGTAGAGAAAATAAAAGGGGTCAAAACTGTGTTTCTTGAGGTCCCAAAAAACTGTTTGTATAGCAGGTAATTAAAATGCTCTTTTACTGGTCTTGGTCGTGTACCCCTGTAACTCTATCCTTTGGTGCAGGGTATAGAGATTTCCAACTACCCCTTTACTAATTTGGCCTAATTTTCTTGACTTGACATGGAGAAAAAATCTTTTTTATCCTCTTTAGTTATTCCTTGACCTTGATAGATGCCCTGGACACCCTACTGGTAAGCATTGGTGGGGAAATGCCAGTAATATTTTAATTCACTATTATTACATGTGTGGCAAGGTTGCCTTGGCCGCATTTAGCTAAGATTTCCATTAAAAATGTTTATTCATTTCATTTAAATGCCGCTTGTATTTGAATTTACAATCACTCCTCAAATTTGTCTTCCTTGCTTGATGGCTCAATGTTCACGCTGTGAATGGAATAACCGATCACAGTTTCTGTTGTCATGAGCAGTGTCGTGTGTTTTCCTGGTAATTAGTGCTAGTCTCGATACATGGGTCACTTGGAGTTAAGTAGGAGAGGAAAATCTGTGACAGATCTTTGCCCGCTCTCATTGCCTTGCATTGGCCTTCCTTGGTTTGGTTTTGTGAATAAACTAAATTGAAATCACCTGGGTTGTGTTGTTGTTTTCTTTGTGGACTCAGTCACACATGTATTTTTTGATCTTGTGTAATATTTATTATTATTTTCTTGAAACGATAAATATATGAATTTCATTTATTTGGGCTGCAGGATGAAGAAATAAATGCAGAGAAAATCATCACAATAATCTTTCCTGGGTATATTATGAACCAATTTAATGACCAGCTCACTAGCTTGAAAACTGGTTAGAGCACTGCACCAGTATCGCACAGGTCAGGGTTTGAATCCCGGCAGCCTGAATTTTTCCAGGCTTTCTTTTCAGAACGCCATCAAGCTGCATATTTAACTGTGATGATCTTGTCTGCATTTACATGAAAATATATTTATTGTTATTTTAATAAATTAGAAATGCAAGTAGCCTCACCTCTTAACTCCGAAATCTAAGCCTTCTTCTTCTGACAATCACAGTATGCCCAATATTAGTAAGTAAAGTCATGGCCAAATGCAAAAAAATATATTTTATTTAGCAATAACCATAAAAACCATAAGGAATCTCTCTGGTCTCTTCATGTTCAGAGTTATTTTAAGATTTTTGCTTCACTTCTAACTTTTGAGTCTTGTCAATGATGTATTAAATTTCCTTTTCTCAGATTCTTGGAAATGCATCTGAATTTCGAAGGGTTTCAAAGCTGTTAAGTGAAACCCTAAATTTCGACATGGACATAAATGTGTCGGTATTTGAGACAAATATTAGAGGTAAGAAAATCTGCATGCTGAGATTGTAAGAAAATTTGAAATGAGGATGAAATCAAGTGTTTCCTTGTCGCCAGCCATTGTGTAAAAAAATTTATTTTTTAATGCATATGTTTGTTCCCATTACATGTACGTAAAATGTAAATGTGACCCCCTTTTTTATAAGTGTTTCATGTAATATATTTTTCAGTTGTTGGTGGCTTGTTATCGGCTCACTTACTTGCCCAAAGGGCAGGAGTGAAGGTGGAGGAAGGTTGGCCATGCCATGGACCCCTCTTAAGGCTAGCTGTAGATGCCGCAGAAAGACTTCTCCCAGGTTAGTCAACTCTGTTTGTGTAAGTTAAGTTAAATAAAAACTACAAATTGCCTGATTTTTAATCCTGTACACTCAGAACCTTGTTATCACAATATGTCCTCTCCCTATAAGATGATCCTACAATATAAGGGGTCTTCGGGTGTGTCACCTTAATAAGAAATAAAAGGTTTAGATTGCCTTGTTTCTTGACACCTTCAGGATCTTACAACTTCACCCTTATAAGTCCCCCTTCCTGGGGGGGTGGTCATCTTAATGAATTTACCCTAGTAAATGGCCAGAGCATTTTTGAGTTGTGTTAGTGTTTCCCTTAGAGGGTGGATTCTGCTTTGCATGAGTAATTCAAGGGAGATTTATCTAAAAGGTCAGGCCTCAGTATGTGTTCTTTTGTAGCGGAGTATGGTGATGTACATAGGAAATGCCTACTGCTGGAATGGGGATTTTTAGAGAGTCAGGTGATCAGTTAGACTCTCAACAGTTGGGCATCTTGTTAGTTACCTGGGACCGGTTCCTGGAAGGCTGATTAGCGCTAATCCAGGATTAAAATTTTGTGCCACTTTTTGTATTTACCCTACAATGCATTGCTTAGAGTAACATTTTGTGTTATCATCTCTTTTTCTCCAAGTAAAGGCACAACAGAATTTATTCTTTTGTAAGCTCGAGTTACATGTTCTTAGACAAGAAAACCTTGCTTAAAATTTGGCTTAATCCTGGGTTAAACTTAACCATCTTTCGAGGAACTTGGCCCTCTAACCTTACTCCATTTTGGGTGTGTATACTTACATTATTGCTGTTGTACTGTCTATAGCATTTAACACTCCAACTGGCATGCCTTATGGCACTGTGAACCTGCGTTATGGAGTCCCACCATCAGAGACTTCAATCACATGTACTGCTGGGTGTGGCACCTTTATCATAGAGTTTGGAACAATCAGTGCCCTTACAGGTACTTCAAAGAAATAATGAAAAAAAATTCCGATAAACTGCGCGGCGCTGCAGAAAGTAAGTAGGGGAATGTTCAACGAAAAAAGAAAAAATAATGAAGAAAAGTGCTGTGTTCTGGTTTAAGTTTGTCTCCAAATGTTTCGGGGCCTGGGGAAAAGTCCCGATAAAAATAATGTCTCCATTTACATTAAAGATGAGGTTTCAATGTTTTTAAAGACAAAACTTTGTTACTGAAACAAAAACTAGTTTGCTAGCCAGGACCCGTTCTTATTCTTTCCTTGATTTGAATATTTGATTTTCTGGCCCTTTATCAGGGCCAAAACCCAGGCCGAAATGTTTGGAGAAAAACTCAAAGCAGAACACGGCACTTTTGTTCACTATTTTTCTTTTTTTTTGTTGAACATTCCCTTAGGTACTTAAAGTCCTGTTAAGTGTTTTCTTTTATAATAACTGAAGGACTCCATACATATGACACATTTCCTTTTTGGAGAGGTATTGTTGCATGCAGCTCCAAACACTACCCAGTCCCTTTACTCTTTCTTGTAGACCTTATTGGTACTTAATGCCGTGGGTCTTTAATTTTGCGTTTTTGCAAATGAGAAAAAGAGCTAAATTGTTAAAGATCCGCAAATAAAAATCCTTGCGAAATAATTGACATTATTATTATTGGATGAGGTTGAGCAGAATATCGTGAGTTGTCTGTGGCAAGCAGATCAATATTATTTGCAGAGATTCCAACCCCATGTGATGGAAAATAGGGAGTAATTATTAGCGCCGAAGGCGCGAGCTTCTAGGGGGGTCCAGGGGCATGCTCCCCCGGGAAATTTTGCAAATTTAGGTTCTCTCAAGTTCCATTTCCTGAATTTTGACATCATTCCGGCCTGAGTTATAACATACCATAATGCTCTTCACGAAGAAAGTAAGTATAATATGAGTGTTTCACAGTGACAGATCGCCAAAAATTCTAAAGATTAGCAATTTTTCCCTAGTTTTCAGAATTTTAGAATAAATCGGGAGAATTTGGTAAAAAGCGGGAGAGCGGGAGGCAAGACATCAAATCTGGAGGGTTGGAATCTCTGTATTTCGGCTGAGGCAAATATTTGATCTGCGAGACACTGACAAATCACTATATTTTGTGATAACTGAGTTCAAAAATTGTTTTATCATTTGATCACCAAGTTTGTTTTTTAATGAATATCTTCAAGAAGCAAAGCGATCTGCCATTTTCACACAAGAGCGATTGCAAGAAGGAGGTTTCATTTATGCATGAGCAGCCAAACACAGTTGGACGGCATTGCGCATGAGCAGGCCATTATTTGTAGGCAGTTATTTTCAGGTCACGTGGTGGGGCTCTCAGCCAATGAAAAGAAAGAAAAATTTGCTTCGAATGATAATATTATTTATTGTTCCATTAGGTGATAAAAGGTTCATTAATGCTGCTTTTGGTGCTCTGGAAGGATTGTGGAAGAGTAGATCAAAACTTGGACTGGTGAGAACGAAGCTCTTTTCATACTACATGTATACACCAGGCCCCAGTTGTATAAAAGGTGGATAAGGCTATCCACCGATAATCGATATCCAGTGGATAGCGCAATAATTGGTTTCCCTAATACTTATCCACTAGATACTGATTTATCCGATGGATAGTGCTATCCAATGTTTGAACAACCCGGGCCAGACTCTATATTTGTCAGTGCAATGCATGTGAGTAAAAACCAAGTTAACCCTTTAACCCCAAAGAGTGATCAGCATCAAATTTCTCCATGTAATATCAGTGCTTTGTTAAACAGAGTGGTCATGAGAATTATGGACATGATCACACAATATGAATTTGCTTGATATTTTATCAACTTCTCCCCACTACTTCTGCAGGAAATGAATAGGGGCAACAAATGAGAATTGAAATTTTGATCTTGGGGTTCAAAGGGTTAATGACCAGCTGCCAGTTTTAGTTTGCTAGCTCATTTGGTTAGAGCGCTGCACCTACATCTCAAAGCCAGGGTTCAGTATGCCTGAATATTTTCCAGGACTTCTTTTTGCAACTGTATGAGTGGCATCTTCAACTGCGATGATCTTCTTTACATTAAAATGATATTTTGTTACTTAAGGTGGGTAATCATATTGATGTGCTTAGCGGCAAATGGACAGCACAAGATGCAGGAATTGGAGCTGGTGTAGATTCTTACTTTGAGTATCTCCTCAAAGGAGGCATTCTGTTTGGTTTGCCAAAACTGGTTGACATGTTTAAAGGTATTATCACTATGAGCGTCCGGGGTTTAAATTACGAGGTTGAGTTATTAGAAACAGTGCTGCGGTTAAATCAAACAATCCTCAGTGAAATATGTTATCAAGGGTAACAATGGTTAAGTCTGCATTGAAGTCAAGTGCTGCGGCTCATCAGGCCAAAGCTTAACTGGGTTCCTGTGGCATGAAGCGACCAGGAATATGTAAATCCCCGTGGGTGTAATACGCTTGTGTGAGGTGAGACTGTGAGAGTAAAATGTCTTGCCCAAGAGCACAACACAATAACTTAGGCAGCGCCCAAACGTAGACCTCTTTATACACAGTCCATTAAGTACTAACCACAGTGACTGCACCTCCTGAAATATTACTTGAAAATTTGTCATTTTGTTTTATTTATTGACCAGAATTTTATGGCAAGGTTGAACAGTACTTGAAGATTAGTGACTGGTATGTTTGGGCCCACATGGAGAAGGGCCAAGTCACTATGCCAATATTTCAGTCCCTTGATGCCTATTGGCCAGGACTTCAGGTAAAAGATTCTAGAATGTGCAATTCTGTAATTTCCTTTTTTATGAAGTATTCAATTTAAAAGGGCCAGGCCAGGACATTTTCTTACCAGTAAACTGTCTGGTCTCTAGATTGAACAGAATCTCAAAATAAACTTTGAAAAATAACAGAAAGTCAAGAAATCCAAGAGGGCCAAAATGGTGAATGGTTGGGTAAAAGTGGGCAAGATTGGCATGGATTACATTAGTGTTAAGTTGGAAAGCCTGAGCTATTTGCCTCTCTTCTCTCTCTTTCTACTGTTGTTCCATGTTGCTGTTTTTTTTTTTTTAAATAGTACTGTACTTGAGAGTGTGACCTATGGTACCAAAATAGGAATGTGAATTTTGATTGATGCCTTTTACAGGAAGAGGGCAGAAAAACTACTAAGATTCACAGAATCCAATCCGGCTTTTTTCATGTGTAATTTGAAAAAGGTCACACAATTTTCTATTGGATGAAAGGTCTTCTTTATCTTTTAGTTTATCATGTGCTTGTTTCCTCGAATGTAGACATTATGGGGAGACATTGGCCCAGCATCACGCACTCTTCAGAAGTACCACAGTGTCTGGCGGCATTTTGGTTTCATCCCTGAATTTTACCAAATTGCCTCTGGAGAGCCATACTCTGGTAGGGCAGGCTACCCTTTAAGGCCAGGTGAGATGAACAATACCAACATAACCCTTTGAGCCCCAGTGCCCACAAACAATTTCTCTAGAAGGCTCTAAAGAATTTGATAAAAACGATTTTCCCTTAAGTTATCATTTAACCAGTTCTCTTAGGTAAACCTTTTTCCTTGATTATGTACTGATATTGTTTGCCCAACTCCCCCCCTCCCCCCCCAACACCAAGGCTAAACTGCACTACTTTTGCCCCAGGGGGTCTGAGTACCCTAAAAGGTACCAGAACTCGTTTTGTGGGCGTGGCTCAAATTCATTTTAACCCCTAATTCCTAAGAGGTACCAAGTACTAGCAAATACTTCTTTTGGCTCAATAGAGTACCGAAGTGATGACGTCATAAAAATGAAATTTGTGAAATTATGGGATTTGTTAAGCTATTCTGAAAGAACAACGTCCAAGACGCCTACTCGCCAAAAATTAGCAATCCGGGGCAAATTGTCTCTGAGATATTAGCCCAGTTATGCTGTGACGATTCCATACAAATCCTTCTAAATTTGGCTTGGTTCATAAGATTAGGAACAAGGTAAGATTTAGAAGGATTTGTATGGAGTCATCGGAGCATAACTGGGCTAATATCTCAGAGACAATTTGCCCCAAATTGCTAATTTTTGGCGAGTAGGCGTCTTGGACGTTGTTCTTTCAGAATAGCTTAACAAATCCGATAATTTCACAAATTTCATTTTTTATGACGTCACACTTCGGTACTCTATAGGGATCTTAAGATTCGAGGACGGCGACGGCAGAGAAAACGTCGCTGAAAAAGTGAATTCGCGTTCTTTCAGTCTTAATCACGATTAGTCCAAGTCACTAACTTTGTCAAATGTAGGCGAACCCTCCTAAAGTTGAATTCCTAAGAACCATATCTAAATTCAGAAAAAGCGAGGAAATTTCGTTGTCGCTTGTGTACTTCCTCTGTACATCGTGAAATTAGGCGTTTTCACGTCGTAGTCGTGCATTGACCGCAAAGAAATGTACAAAAAAGCGTGATGCACGTGCAAAATTGTTGTTTTGCTAATTAAACCTATTGCTTTTGTGGCGTCATCGGATCTTAAGGTCCCTAATATCTTGAACGGCTCCCAAAGGCTATCATGGCAGCTCTTACGGTGTTTTTTCTAGTTTTAAGCACCCTACGTTATACCAATCCACAAATTTTGCACCTTAAAAGTTTGACAAGCATCTATCTCATGTTCCTTAGGGTACCCTGGGCCGTGCTCCTCAATTATTAATACTAGAGCAACCTTTTATTTTCTCAGTGTGGATGTTCTGACATTATTAATTTAATTGATCTGTTGTCATTTCTTACTGTAGAGTTGATTGAAAGCGCCATGTACTTGTACCGTGCAACTAAGGATCCTTATTTCCTTGAAGTAGGAAGAGATATGTTGCATTCCATAGAAAGTAGCGCTAGAACACCTTGTGGATATGCTACAGTGAGTACGACCATGAAAATTGCAATTGTCTTTCTGAAAGCCCTTCCCCTTCCACGCTTCGCGTGATCCGGGTTGTTAAGTCTCCATTGCAGCCATTTTGTTGTCAAGCAATGCTTTTATTTGGGGAAAGAATTGTTGCGTGACAACCCAAAAACCGAGACTGCCAGTTGTTCTAAAGGTGTATAGATTACTGCCCGATGGGTAAAGCAACGAGTTTCGTTACTGCTAAACCTGAAGTTGGTGATGTAGTAATCTGCGGTCAGGGGTTCCTCTTTTTCCGAAGGAATACGAAAGTTGGCGGATAGGCAAAGGGATTCCAAAAGAGAAAAGGAAGAAGAACCGCCTGATTGGCGGTTAGTGATTAGACCATCGTTTGAGCTACTGGATGCTAGAGCAGTAACTACTCAGAGCGAGATGTGCCAACTCTTTCAACAATAAAAGTGAAAAAAAAAATCTGTAAGTTTATAGGGGTCCGTTATAGGGAATGATCAGTAAATCTCAACCTAAACCCACGCAGCTGCAGTCTTTGTTTAACGTTTTTTATGGCAATAACCATTATGAAACTTTTAATGTTCTGCCCCTTCCCCCAACAACGGCCTCTGTACTTAGCTGATACCTCCGACCCCCTGCCTCATACCCAGGCGCTTCTCGGCGGTGGTCGCAGCGCAAGGAAGATCACGGGAAAGCTCTAAAAGCGCAAAGGCAGATGGGAAGGCAAGGACTCCTTGCGCTTCGGCCTCGACTACCGCCGAAAATCCCAAGAAGCGCCTGGGAACTAGGGATTCCTAAGGGACCCACTGTCAAGAGATTTCTTCAAATCGCGATATAAACCCCTTCACGTGACGTCACGTCCGCCATGTTGGGTCCCAAAGCAGTCCGGTGGGAGTTGAAGTCTTTTCATATGTAAACGCATTCTGTCTTCCAATAAACATGAATAACTGCTGGCCACACGAGTTCAATCGCTGTTAAACTATCCTTATTTGCAGATAAAAGATGTGAAAACACACGAAAAAGAAGATAGAATGGAGTCCTTTTTCTTAGCAGAGACGACCAAGTATTTGTATCTTCTGTTTGATGAACATAATTTCATTCACCAAAGAAATGAGTCAGAGCATCATCAAACGACTTCGTCTTTATCACTTTCTTGTACAACCGGCTCTGCGGGTTATGTATTCAATACAGAAGCTCATCCTATAGACGTTGGGGCGGTTCATTGTTGCCCATCTTCACGGCTCACGCATGTGCCAGAGGAGTTAAAATTTCGACATTTGTTTAACGTAAGGACTAAAGAACCGCTCAAAGAAAACAGTGATACGGACGCAAAAACTTTTACCGGGGCTTATACTTGTAAAGCGAGGCCTTTTCATAAGAAATTGTCAGTACTAGGGGCGTTTTTCGAAGGATCAAAAGAATTCTCCGGAGATCTTGACGAACAAATTATAGATCCATAAATATGTTTATATTTTAATAGTAATATTTATTATTAAATAGAGGAAAAGAAAAAACAATTTTCTAAAATTTATGGAAGTAATTAAGTAGCAAGGGTAATGGAACATGCATTCTTTTAAATGTTACATTCGTCCTTTAAGATTTGAAGAACGCTAAATAGTTAGACAATTAGATCAATAAATTAAAATCGAATGTATTTTCGCGATCAGCACGGGAAAAAGAAACTGCAATTCAGATTCATATTTATTTAGCAAAAAATATATGAATATATTGTTTGATAAATACATTGATTAGCTATAGTACAATCAATCGGTCGTCGTTCCTGTTTATGTCCTAAAATATTATTTTTTGCCAGTATGTAATAAAGTTAAAATAGATTTCCCATAACAAAATGCAATGTTTGTTATAACTGGGTAAACTGATAAGGGCAACGTTATTCCCTATTATTAGAAACAATAGCCCTTATCACGGTTTTGGAAGCCATCTTGACGAGTAAGCAACCGCGTGAGAAATTACAGTGTTTGTATGAGAACCTACTGTCGAATAATTTCCGTAAAACGCCTATTCAGAAAAAAGTATGAATTGTAAACTAAAGCTTTACTCCTAACGATTCTACTGAAAAAATTTGAGGTCGTTACATGCAGCTACGTGCGCTAGAACCACTTTTTAAAATTTTCTATACATTTGCCTGTAAAAATCTCCCGGGAAAAATTGCAGACAAATATATGGAAAATATAAACTAAGCGTCTGGAGAAATTTAAGCACTGTAACGGCCCCCCAAAATTTGATCGTAGAATCCTTTGCTGTGTAGCTTTAGTTTACAATTCATATTTTTTTCCAGAACAGCCGTTTTACGGAAATTGTTCGACATTAGATTCCCATACAAACACTGTAATTTCTCACGCGTTTGCCTACTCGTCAAGATGGCGTCGAAAACCGTGGTAAAGTCTATAGGGACCTTACGAAGCTACAACGATGACTGCAATAGAAACGTTTGAAATACATTAGGTTTAGGCCGTGTACACTCTATACAGGATAGCTCCTGTGCCGGCAAGAAAATCATACCAGATTGGACTTCTGTTCACACAAAGGAACGGTGATTTAGGCGCGATTTCTGTAACGGAACGGTATGTGACGCTGTGGCGCTCCACTTTCGAGATCGGCGCAGCGTAGCTTCGCTCCGTCACAGACTTCCCGCCACAACAACCATTATTAGGCTGATTTAGCAACAGAACGCGAACGTCATTTGACGACGGAAAAGCGCGCAAAAACGACTAAACTTGACTTCCGGTGTTCAATTTGTCGCTCTGCCATTGGTCAATCCAGTTGTTTGATTTGCGCGTGCCGTCGTCAACCGACCTTCCGGTTCTGTTGCTAAATCAGCCTATTGTGTGTGAAAAGAAGCCGTATTCTGTATGATTCTCGTGGCGGCGCCAACGCTGTATGGTATAATGTTAACATAGCCGAAGTTAGCAAAACAACAACTCTGCACGTGCATCACTATTTTTTTGTACATTTCTCTGTTGTCCCTATACAACTACCACATGAATTGACCAAATTTTAAGTGTACTCGACGACGGGAACTGCAAGGCGATGAATTTGACTATCCGGCTGTCTGAACTCGGTTGCGCCCCTCCCCTCCTCCCCCCTCTCTCTCTCTTCCCCTCTCTCTCCGACATAGTTTCCCTACTTTGACGTAACTGGGCAACTTGGAAAAATCGAGAAAAAGTTTGAAAAGATACGAATTCTATTTTTTTAGCGACGTTTTTATTAGCGTCGCCGTTGTCGGATCGTAAAGTCCCTATTGCTATTACACTAACATCGTCAATGTAATTTTTGTTGTCAGTCTCTTGGTAAATCAATGCATTCCAAATGCTTAGAAGCCTTCTCAGCAATCTCCTGACTTCCAGCAGCTAACACACGACGAGCCATCAAATCTATTGGTCCTCCTAAAAAAAAAACAAACATGTGTTGCATTACGCTATCTATTGAAATGTAGCCATTTCCATTTCAAACAAGATGAGACTTTGAAGGCGACGTTTTTGCACATCGAAAATTCGTCTGGTGCCGTGTGAAGGTAGGGAAACCGGTCGTTTCGATACGAGAACTCAAGCAGTGAAATTGCACAAAAATTTCGATCACTTCAAGAAAAGTTTGCAGTTGAACAAGAAAAACATTTTGGGTGAATACTCTTCGTTCTTTAAGCCAAGTACGTGAAACTATTTACAACTCGATGGGATTAACTTGTATCGAAACGACTTTGCATCGAAACGACCGGTAACCGAACGCAGCCAAAGACATTTAAAAACTAAGTCTTCGCTATGATTTCGTGGCTATTTTAATTACTATTTTCTAATTTTTATACGGCAGTTACCTTATGTGTGCTCTAGGGGCGTATTCAATGTAAACACTTGTCCAAAAGAGAGGTTTTTTGATAACTTTTGCGCTAGTTTGCGAGTAAGCTCTCCGGGGCGCCCTGGCGGCGTGGCGAAAAAAGAGGGGGCAGGGCGTGGTGGAGGAAAGAGGGGAAGAGCCTACTTTTGCACAAGAAAAGTCACTAATTAATGGCATCAAAATTGGAAGTTCGAAACAACGGAGCTAAAATGTAGATTCGTACCAGTCGTTTCCGTTTCTTTTAGCCAAGCGGGAGAAGCGCGAAAGACGCACAAGGACTTAGCGCCTTTTAGCCATCGTTCGCTCAGTCTTTTACTGCTTACCCTGGGTACCAGAGGTTTTTCTCGCGCGTGCAGCGGGAATTTTCGGTGTCGGCCGAAGGCCGAAGCCACGAGCAGAAACCGGAAACCGCGCTAGAAAAGTCTCTGGTACCCAGGGTATAAACTGCTTGGCCAAAAGCAAACAGAGACGACTGCTACAAAGACTACAACGAATCGAAATATTGAAAGCATAAAACGTGCGCGGTATATCGCCTGGCTGTGTAAAATGGGGCTTTACATACCAGAAGGATCTAAGAGAACTCCTCCAGCTTCTTCAACTATTAAACCAGCAGCAGCGATATCCCAAACATGAATTCCAAACTCATAATACAGGTCAGCACTACCCTCTGCTATTGAGCACAAATTAAGTGCTGCTGATCCTAACATTCTGATGCTACACAGAATAACAGAAAGAAAAAAATAACTACAATCATGCAAATGGCGAGGAAACTTCTTGTTACTAACTAGACTGCAAAACAGTCCGTATTTTTGTTTATTCAGGTATGCATGAACAGTCGAACTATTAAAAGGTCTGGAGCGAGGCTGAAAATGGAGAGCAAGACTGGAAAGAGTGACCCTCTGGACGTGTGAGGCTTGCACGCTTTGCGCGCGTGAGACTCTTACGCTACTCTTACACTACGCTAAACTGATTTTGAGAAAAAACCCAACTGTTTTGTAGTCTAGTTACTAACCTCTGTACAGACTCTCCCTCCCCTTAAAAATCCTTTGTAGGAAGGGGGCTTCTGTGCACAGGCTAGTCGTTAAAATTAAAAAAAATCAGAAGTCAAGCCTGGCACCTGGCTCCTTAATGGAAAAAAAGGTGAATGACAGGGAAAATGGGAAGAAAGAAGCAAGTCAGTTGGCAGGAGAAATGAGGGGAAGGAGCCGTCACTTTTCTTCTCCCCAATCTCCAACTGTTAACCCCATTATTTAGCGCTTTCCCCACCAAGGAGCCTGATTCACAGACTGGGTCGATGAGTAAGAAAATTTCACGATTTCAGACGTGAGAGGGTTTGCACCTCTGATGAACACTACAGCTCAGTTACTTACCCATGAACTCGAATTGGTGGCTCCGCTACAGTCCTAAAGTTCTTATTTACAACTTCCATGTTTGCAAGTTCCCTAGAAGCACCCAACTCGGTGATGACAAGAGCTTTGCTTATATCTGTCAAAGAGTAATAATAAAAGTGGAAGTTAGGTGATAACATCAACTTTGCACATTGTCCTTCAGTAGAACAATATTGCTAAGATTAATAAGATTCCCCCTCGTGCAGACCATGTGAAGTTTTTAGAGAGATTTAGAGCCACGTTTATGGAAAACAAATGCAAATTTGTACCACGTGGCCAATTACTCCCCGTTGTTGTTGTTTTCTGCTCCGTTTTAACTACTGTACACAGAAATCAGAAGATTTATGCCAGTTTTCTCCAAAGGAACTGTTTCACAATTCAAGCTGTTTTTATCAATTTTGTTCATAATAAATTATTTTTCTGTTTTGAGAATTTCTCAACTTGAATCTGACATTAACATTAATATTTTGCTGTAAACGCAACTCTAAATCTGCTGATGTCCCCTAGAAAATGACTCAGATTAAAAAGCCCCTCCCTTTTTGCAAGAAAAACTTGTAAGATAATAGAGCCATTACAATAAAAGACAAACCTTAGATAATAACCTCAACCACGATTCCCAAATACATACAAAGAGACCCCTATCAAAACCTTGTTTTTACAAACCACGGGTCACTGCAACAAGGTTCAGGTCCTGGAAATGGGGCACACTTTCTTATTTTTGTGAATTGCTGGAAAAATAAAAATTAGAACCCGCAAAAATTTTGTTCCACACGGTATTTAGTGACTTGAACAGGATGTCTTTTTGGTCTGGAGGAAGTTGAAGGCTGGCGATGATGGGTCAAGAATTTTTGTCTTAAACACGTGGCACAAGTGTACCTTAGCTTCCCTTGACTGACCCTCTCCCCCCACCCCCATTTCTGGTCTTGCTATCTAAGGCCTCCTGTATTCTAATAGATCTGATTTTGTTCACTTGACAGCTACCTGTAAGACCAGAACAGTGAATTTGCTTTCCATTACGAAATGCTCCAGAGCCTCTCCTGGCAGTGTATAGCTCATCTCTAATACAACTGTATATGACCCCAATTTCTACCTAGGTAGTTAAAAATGACAAACATGAGAAAAGAAAATTAGTCTTACTTTTATGCAGGCCATTTGTCACTATTTACACAATTAGGGGACTATGAATGAGTTATCAAAATTGATTCATGCATGTTTAGCTTGTCAACCAAGGCAATGGGTTGGTAGATGAAGTACAACTTTCAGAAGTCAGCTCTGAAAATTGATACGGATTTTAGAAGCAAGGTCTGAAAACAAATACGGAAAATGGCATGTTTTGGTCTGAAATCTAGGATCATCAGGATTTGACCAACACATCCCCAGCAAAGAATTCCTAGTATTACCACCCAGGCATACCTCTCCTAGTTAGAGTGATTTTACTTGAACCATGAAATAGGTAGTGGAATACTATGCAATATTATGCACTAATTTTATCGTCTTCTTTTGTCTACCTCTCCCTATTTTGCACTATTTGTTAATATCTGTTTCACGGTTCAAGTAAAATCACTCTAACTGTTTAAGGTATAAGAGTAATCTAAAACTGCTAAATTGCTATGTAGCAAAAGCAGTACACGGTAAATAATACCTCTATCACATGTGCTGAAAAGAATTTTTGTTGGGTCACCATTAATCTTGAAGCTGTTATCTTAGATTATGTTGAGAGCAAAACTACGCTGGGTGCCAAGAAAGGCCAACAAAAACTATTATTCTATTGATGTCTTCCTGACCCGTAAACCTAGAATAGAGTAGAGGGACTGTTCTACCTGTCCAGTTTCTTGTTAGAAACACTTTCTGATCAGTTAATTTATTACACAGTTTTGCACAAAGATTATCTAGCTTCTTATGATTATCTATTTAGGGATGGGCAGGCTTCTAAGAAGCTAGAAAATGAGTTTAAAATAGACTAAATTTTCACCTTTTTGTTGATTGCCAAGCCAATACACACCGCCACATAAGGAAATCTAAGATGAACAATTTTTAAGGAGTGTTAAGGAGCATTCCAGTCCAAACATAGGAAAAGCCCAGTTCTTCCCATTTTACAGTACCACTCAAAAGTAAGTTGACAGTCACTTGCATCTTGATTCTTGAAACTTTCAAGAATCAATTCTTGAGTCTTGAGAATCAATTCTCTAGTTTTGAGAATTGAGAGTCAAGTCAAGAAATATAATGAACTTGTCGTTTAACTGATCTCTTGAAATTCATCAAACGCTCTCTGTGTTTAGAATCATGAAGTATGCGTTGTGGACTGAGACAAATGGCTTTTGCAATCCTCGCTTACTTCTGTGATAAAAAAAATTTGCACTTTCGAGACATATGCATACACAAAGGATGAATTGAACGGCTGGCAAAATTCCCCACTTGTTCTGTGCTTTTAAAACGAAAATGTAAACTTTCATCATTAATTTTTTGCCCCCTGGCTAAAAATTATCACCGATCAATGAAAATTAAATAAACAAGTGCAAATGTCTTGTAATTTAATTCCGCTTCAGTGCAGTTCCAAGTTTCTCATCTAAAAATGACCACAAATGAAATAGTCTTGGAGAAACCTTGTCTTTTGCTTTTAGAAAAAAGTTTCATGAAATAAAAATAGTCTTGGAGCAAGAGGTTTCAAATTATAAGTGAAATCACTAGGTGATTTGGTACCAAATCCATTTTAGAAAAATACAGAACTAACCCTATTTGTACAAAATTTGGATTGAACTGAAAGCTATTGGGAGATTACAACAGATTGAAACAAGAGGTTTCAAGTAATTTTAATTTTCAATAATAACAAGTGACATATGAAAATTTTACATTTTTCCAGGGTTAAAGATGGTCATTGTGGTAACCAAATCCATTTGGGATGGGTGTCCTGAGAATATAAAGAAATTTTCAAAATGACAAAATTCAGAAACCCTGAAATTTGCTCAAAATTATGGATTGAGCTGATTGGACCAGCTATAGGGAGAGGGTTACAACAGATTGATCTGATCCAGTCTATCTGCAGTTTTGTTAACAGCCCAGCTGAATCTGGAGGGGACTCCCTTTTAAAAATGATAGGGATGGTTTTTATATCGCTAAGGGGTGTAAATTGTCCTAATTGCACCAAGGGGGGAGGGCGTTGATATTTTCTTGGAGGGAGGGGGAGGTGTTGATGCAAAGGAGAGAGCCTCCAAATTTTAGATTTCCAGAGGTTTGCATCTGCTACTTACCTGTGAACAAAGTTGGTTGTACCATCAATGGGATCAATTATCCATGTTGGATTGTTTGTGAGATTACAGCTTCCACCGGCACTTACTGTTTCCTCACCAATGAAACTGCCAACATAAATACATAAGATAATCACCTGGTACAATAAAACTGGCACACTTATTGACAACCAGGGGACGGAAGAGGGAAGAAATGGCTAAAAATAGAAAAAACATAAGGAAAACAGGAAAAATATAAAAATGTCATGACTTTTAAGTCATTATCTAAAAAGATAATTTACCTGTGAGAAGGAAATTCCTTCTTTAGGGATCCAATGATTAACTCCTCAACTTGTTTATCTGTTTCTGTTACTAGATCTGTTCCACAAGACTTTGTGTCAATGTTCTTTTCCTTATGAAAAGCTACCCGCACAACCTAATGATAGTACATTGGCGTTGAACTTGACAGTTTGTTTTCGCTGTTGTCAATTCGATTTAAACTTGGCAACTTCACGTTAAATAGCCTGAATTTCAGACATATCTTTGGGTCGCATCCTGAAAGTCAGGCTACACGTGACATGCACTCGACATAATAACCGGCAAAAAAAACTTGTCGAAGTCGTTGGCGCCAAATTTTCAAGTTCCGAACAAACTTTGGAACTCGTTCGTCCATATTTACCTATAATACACTTCAATGATGCAATTACCTCTCCTGCGTTACGTGCTATGCGCACGGCAGTGTCAAAACAGTGTTGAATGTCCTGATCGTCGACTTGAACAAGATCCTCCGCCATCTTGAAAAACAATCTGTTCTCGTACCCAGACCCTCTAGGCCAAAGAAAAAGGCCGAAATGACCGCCCAAAGAAAACCTTCATTTAAACCCTGCATCATTGTTCATGGAGGGGCAGGAACAATTTCATCGGTGAGAAGAATATCATCCCTTTCTGCGGTGAAAGAAGCGGTTAAAGCGGGATATAACGTGTTGTTAGAGGTACGCAGTAGTTTTAATACAGCTCACCAGAGAATAATGACGTCACGGCGGCCATATTGGTGTCCCAAAACAATGAAACGGCGGCCATGTTGGACTCTTTTCTTATGCAAAAACTTTCTTCTCTTCCAATAAATAAAAAATAAATAAATATATATATATTTAAAAACACAAGCAAACAAATAATAAAGTAAATATATGTATATTTCAAATCAAATTGAAAAATGTGAGTTGTTGCCATCTTGCTTGACACAATTTCCAAAAATATGTTAACTCAGACCCTCGAAAACCAGGTAAAATGAATAAATGAAAATGCCTTTCCAAGATAGTGTTGAAATCAAAACGTTGGTTTCTGGATGCTTGTACTATAAAGACCTGACAAATGGATATAATATTATATTGCCAAAATCCCAGCACTCCCAGAATATAAAAATCTCATGCTTATATCTCAGAAAAAGTTAGCAGGTATAATATATTGCCAGTATCTGCAAAACTATGCATACTGCTAAACAAGATGACTGCTCGCACGTATTACGGCCATGTGAACAACAAACCCCCGCCATTTTCTTGTGCCATCTTGGTTTTACCACTGCCCTATACCAATGGGGTCACATAGCCCGAGTGTCGCAGATTGCGCGACACTTGGGCTATGTCACCCCGTTGGTTGAAGTTGAATGAGAGCATGGTGGCGAAGATGGTATCCCGTGTCTCCTACCTTATATATTATAATAAATTGTACATAGAGTGAATTTGAACAAATTATTACGAAACTTCGTTGGAGCAGGGTAAGTTTCATTGACTTACATTTAGTATTTCCTACAAATTTTAGGATCGTATTTTTACTCCTTACAAACACTGTAAATTTACTAGAACTGTACTGTGGTACTATCACAGAGCCTGGGTTACCTGTGCTTTATCCGGTCACCTTTCGAGCTTTGTGGTAAAATGTGCATGACGGAGTGATGGCAGGGGACTTTATTATTTGTTTGCTCGTGTTTTTAATATGTTAATTTATTTATTATTTATTTATTTTTTATTTCAAAAAAAGAGGGGCCCAGAAAGGGGTCTAGAAGGGGGTCCAAAAAGGGGTCCAAAAGGGGGGTCCAGAAAGGAGGGTTCACGTTTTGTCTACTCTATTCTTTCCCATGACCTGAAACCTGACTGGATATTGGCTAATTAATGAGCTGTGGCATACTGTAGTCTTGTAGAAGTAGATCACAGGTCCTAGGGCAAGCTAAGTTGCATGATAAGAGGTCCCAGGCCCATACTCCCTATAATGAGCTATACAGGGATGCTGCACTTGGAAGGGGTACCTTTTATCAGGCTTCAGATATATGAAAGGGATTTCACTAGTTGAATTATTTGAAAGGGAAGAGAAATCAGTGATATTTGTATGACGTAAAATGGACTCAAAAGGGCTAACAGATGTATTTTGTGGCTGTGAAGAAGTTGGGAAAACATTCTGACCACATTCTGGTCTTGCAATAATTGTCTTGAACATTTCAAAGTGAGACCAAATCTGCAAACTTACCCCTAGGTGAACTGACAAACATCTCTGTGCCTTATATGGAAGTCTCTCCCCCCCCTCCTTCCACCCACAAGAAATAAGAGGAGTTATTTATTATTTATTAAAATATTAAAAGGGAGGAAGCTCACTCGATGCCGTGGAAATAGCTACAAGAAAAATGGAACTCTGTGGGGTATTAAATGCAGGTTGTGGAGCTTATCTAACAGAAAAAGGAACTGTAGAACTTGATGCTGCAATCATGGATGGCCAAACCTTAAACACTGGTAAGTAAATATCATGTTTATTAATTTTATTCATTGCGTGCAAAGGGCTCGGTCCTAACTGCTTCTGTTATCAAACTATTCTTTTACATTTTTCTGTTTCCACTACACTTAAGCTGCCCCTGCATAAGTTTTAAAGGTTCTTTTCCTCTGTCACAAACCAAAATCTATTTTGTGCCTCACTTCAGTGAGGTTTGCTCCTACTGGCACTGACCCTTCCCAGTCAGGCACACTCTTAATTTGCAACTAATACCAATAAATGTATGTTTTATTCCAAAAGCATATGCCATTTAGCTAATGTATTGTTATTTTGCTTAAGGGGTAAGAGGTTTAATGGGGTATTTTAGGATTTGAGATCCTGGTCCAGTTGTTTGAAGACCAAGCACTAGGCTGGGGTTAGCACTAAGTGCTAAGCTGGGGTTGAATGTTTATCCAGGTTTGTTTTCCTTTTGTTCAAAAGCATTTTCTGTGATAATTTTCTCTGAATTCTTTTTTGAGCATCCAATCATGAAATTGTAGACAAAAAAAATGAAACTGAATAACTGGCTTTTTTCACTTTCATATCTAAATTCAAATTTTACGTCCTGTGTTATCTCCAAAACAAACCTGCCACAGGATGATAACAAATATTTTGGTACATCCCTGACTCTTCAAGAAGGAAAGAAGGTAGACGGGAATTTCCTGAAGGGGAGGGAAGGTGCTGGTATTTAATCCTACAAAGAAGATCATTCTCTCTGTTGTTGTCTGTAGGGGCAGTAGTCTGTGTTCAGAGTATCTCAAAGCCTGTGTCCTTAGCACGTAAAGTTATGACAGAGACATCACATTGTATGCTGGCTGGAGATGGTGCCCTTAAGTTTGCCAGAAACATAGATTTTCCCATTCTGGGGGATCCAAATGTGATAATAAGTGATCTTTCTTATCAAATGTACATGAAAGAAAAGTTGAGACACGAGAATCATAACAAGCATGTGAATCATGAGAGCATGGCCACTCCTGTCACTCAAAAGAACAGGGACACCAACCTTGAGGGACATGACACAGTGGGAGCAGTTGCCATAGATATCAATGGACACGTTGCTGTGACCTCTTCAACAGGTAACACTCAAACATTTTCTTAAAAATTCCAATATATCTAAAAGAAAAGGAAAAACAATGAAAATTTTACACCTTCTTGATTACATGGGAGAATTCCAGCTTTGACAAATGTGTGGTGTCCAGGGTGAAATCCAGATAAACTTCAGACTCCACCAACTCTTTGAATGAAGTATAAGTACAAGTCAAGTAGATGCATGTTCCCAAATTCATGAGAATGCTAACACAAATTATACTTTGCTTGCTTCAGTCATATTAGCCTGTTGGCAGATGTCACCTATTTCCTTTGTTGCAAGCAAAAGAAATACAAAACCTCTCCGTGCAGGCTACAATATTCACATAAACTTACAGTGCAAAGAAAGGATGCAAAGCAATTACCACAGGTATCTCTTCTTGTACCCCTCGTGATGTTTTATTTTCTACTTCTTTAAAGGGGGTACTTCTCACAAGATGTGTGGTAGGGTTGGAGACTCACCCCTGGTGGGGTCAGGATTATATGCTAATCAGTGGGCAGGTGCTTCATGTACCGGACACGGTGAATCGTTACTTAAGGTCGTTCTATCCAGAGAGGTTGTGAACTGCATTGAAAAGGGTGACTCGCCCACTGAGGCTTGCTCAAGAACCATCAGTAAAATGGCTGAACTGACTGGTGGTTATGGCGGTGTTATATGCTTGGGCAAGTTTGGTGAGATTGGTTTGGCGTTCAACACAAAGCATATGGTGTGGGCGTCTGTGAAGAATGGTCTCTTAAAATATGGCATTGATCCTGGGAAAGAAATCGAAGAAGTCTTCAAGGAGTAACTTTAGAGACCATGGAGTTTAGCATCAACATCTTGAAAGATTGGTTTTTACTTAAGACCACTTCTGAGGGAAAAAAAGCGACTGTTTTGCAATCTAAGAATCACAAATGATGTGATGCTATTTAAGTTCGTAACATTGGGCGATCCCGTGAACATTTTTTCTTCAAAATAGTGCAGTCTACTTGGAGACTCTTATCAGGTCCATGGGAGGTAACTTTGGATGTAATCTTTCAGGCCTTTGATTGTCTTTGGGTAAACATAGCTTGTCAGAACATTAGAAAAGTCCAAAATATAAAGTAAAAAGATTATGATCGAAGCATATATTTAACATACACAAATACTGAAAAGGTTAATAGAAAATAGTATTCATTGTGCGTATTTTGAGTCATATGACGTTTGAAGTTGTACTGAAGTTGCAAAATTTAGACCTGCTTCTCCTTAATTAGGAAGTTTCCTTCGGCTATGTTCGCAATTTCGTGGCGACAAGAGAAGCCACAGAAGCCATCCGGTATCGGCCTGGGGCGGCACACACACAGTTCACACACACGTGTCGGCCGGCGTGGTTATCTGGGAATTGTATGAGAGGGTTTGGTGCACTAAATTCCAGTCCTCTGAAATATTTACTTCCGTCTTAGTGGGTTCCAGTCCTCGCTCCTACTTATTTACTTCTGCGAAGCTCCGAATGGTGTTCACACTGCACCAAAGTATGGCACAAAACCTGTCCGATATGTCACGCTACTTCGAGACCGGCGAGGTGCAGTTTCGCTCCGTCACAGAAATCGCGCCGAAATCACCGTTCTCGTGTGTGAACAGAAGCACTACCCGGTATGACTCTCGTGGCGGCGCAAAAGCAATCCAGTTTGGTGTGAACTAGTCTGCTACACAGCCGTTTTTAGAGTCGTCACGCAACGCTCCTCCCCACTAGGGAGGAGCGTTGCGTGACGACACTAAAAACGGCTGTGTAGCAGACTAGGTGTGAACATGACCTTAGGGAAATTTTGCAGACAAAGAATTTTGCTTTTACAAGCTGCATTTGCTTGCAGTCTAATGATTAAGTGGTAAAAGTGCGATTTTTGAGGACTTGGGCTGTCACACCTTTACAAAAACTTCAATCGTTGCTTATCGTACCGTTAAAAACTCTAGAATACGGGAAATATCATCCTGTGTTATTCGAAAAATAGCAGAATATAGTAACCTCACCAATATTTTCAGCAGCAATATGCATATAATTGTCATGCAGACTTAAACAATGTTTATTCAGTTGTTGTATATATTTTAATTAATTTACATTTCCCCATTCATTTTGCCTTTAAAAAAAAGGGTTCAAATAATTTTTATCGCGGAGCAAGTCGTCCCATCAAATTCACTCAAATCCCATACTGGTGAGTTTTTCAATCCATGTTTCCTGTTGTATAAAAGATTTAGTGTAAAACGATTACATATCTGTAGTTAAATTCTATAGCACACCCAAAATCGATCGTATCCTCGGTGATGGGATTTGCCTGAAAATATCGTGAGGAGTTTGAGCCGCCTTGAAAACTGTTATGTTAGTATATAGTTTTCATCTTATGCTTTGGCAGAGTTTCACGATCTTTTACCACATATAAAAATTCCGCGTCAAATAGAAATGCCGGCATAAGGAGCTAGGTAAACAGTTTTGGGTGGGTTCGTTATTAACTGAAAGATCAGAAAATATCAAGCTATCTTAGGTGTGAAATATGCACTATAGAGCTAACTTCAATGATATAGAACTCACCATTGAGTATGACGTTAGTCGATTGCTAAATTCTTTATTTATTCCAGTTCTGTCAAAACGTTTGAAGCTTTAGTCATTTACAAGTGTATTATAAGTTTTTTTTCTCGTTTTTAGTACTTCCTCTCTGATATGGGCTAGGTAATGATAAAATATTGCCATGAACTTGTTTTAAAATTCGTCTTCCCTTTTGGCACTGTGCGAGGGATGCTATGTCGTAAACTGTTTGAAATCTAGCCAATTCGTTAAGATTCGTCAATTTGATATCTGACATGCATGACGATTTGGCTAAGGACCAGTGAACGCCTGTGGATAAATATAGTAATTCTGTCATGAATAAGGATTAATTACTCACACTTCATGTCTACAAACCGAATTGACTTTGCCTAGCATTGGAACTGACTAGTGAAGCAAACTGAGAGTTTTTAAAACTAAGCTTTTTTGCACACTTAAGAGGGTTTGCGTAATACGATCGTATTCGATTCAGTTGGATTTTGAACCTGTTTATGGCTAGCCGCCAGAGCGCCCCAGACTCCGGAGAGCTTGCTCGCAGGCGAGTTTATGGCTCAATAAGTTCTACATGGATATCTCCCTGGGAATATGCTCCCACGGTTGTTATCAAAGTTCTTCCCCGGGCCGGTGGGGAATTTATTTTGTCACATATATTTAGTTCTTATTTTCTACCAGTTAAAGAAGGAAACTGAATTGCACGTAAAAAGTACTAAAGCACAAGTTTACGAAAGAAAAAATTGGCAGCGCAGAACTTCGGGTTTTGCTATAATATTAATGCCTTTACCGTATGCTAAGAAGAGGAAAGTATTTTAGAAGAAAAGATCAGCACATTTTTGTGGAGTAAAAAGCCACAGAGAGAAAGCCGTGGGACGTTTTGCAAAGAATTTGAGAAAAAATGTTTTCTTTGCAAAGATTGCCACAGTAAGATTTATCCGTTTAAAATGACTCATTTGAAACAAAAGTACGTGTGGTTCAATTCTGGGACCAGTTTAATAAAACTTTTACTAATGTATTTTTCAACTGTAACTATTGTTTTCAGATTCTAAAACAATGACTACACTTGTAAGTTACACTTAGTGTAAAAGTTTTATTAAATTGACCCCTGCGCAGTTCAGGCGTTCGTCTTCAGGGTCCGAATTCTGCGAAAAAAACTGGGAAAACTCTCAGGTTAGCCCGCATAACAGGCGCATTATGAGCCAAGCCAGACGAACGCGGCATTTTGCGCGAGGCGCGAAACGAGTGCGAAGCGCATTTCGCGCTTCGCGTGTTTGTAAATTTACTGACTGGTTTTCCAGCGCCTTCCAATCGCTTCAGCCTGCAGCGTATTCTGCAATCTCGCCGACACTGGCTAGCGTCAAAACAAATCTGGAAATGATGATATTCACGGACAAAAAAGACTACCCAAATGTAGCTATTCGGGTCCCAGGCATTTCTGAGAAAACCAAAGAAACTAAGAAATATGTAAGGTTATTTATCAGCAATAAAAAGCTTAAGGCTTAAAGCCAGGAAAAGGAAAACCGTGTTATGGTAAATTGCATATGTGATAAAATCTTGTCAGGAAACATCTACGGAAACAAGCCACAGGACCTTATTACTCAATATGCGTAGAACAGACCAGCTTCAATGCTCTAAAAGTGAGACTCCGAGCGACGAAAATATGATTTGCTCAGTTAAATTTCTTCAGTTATACCCCATGCTCTGCAAAATCTTCACTAAAGAGAGAAAGCGAGGAAAACCTTTGTCTAAGATCTCGTTTCACACTACACGTATCATGAGCTCAAATTCTCTCAAATTCTCTCTTGTCGAGCTGAGACGTGTTTGGCGCGCCAACACTTAATTTCAAATCGGACTAATTACAAACTGCGTAAGAAACTAGCCAATCAAAAACGCCTACATATGTCCTTGCGACTCTGCGGGATTCGAATTGAACGCGATATTGTGCACTAATTCGCAGACGCTCTATACAGAAGGTTTAGAGTGTCTGCGACCCAGGCTAACGACGTCTCCGACATCTCTTTGTCACTGGATTTGTCAAAAACACTCTTACTGCGGTGTCAGAGGGGGAGTGAACGTCTTCCCACGATGCATTGCGATTCAAACTAATATATCAAGATTTTCGTGACGTCATCATTCGGCTCAGACGCTTGAACAAGTCAGAGCAACATGGCGAAATGTGTTGTTAGAAATTCGCGGCTATCACAGATCCGCTGCATGCAGTTAACATAAGCCGGCAGAATCACATTCACGGTCCTCACATTTAGACTTATTGTCAAAGAGGTTCTCCCCAAGGGTCTTGCCTCAAATTCAGGGGAAGCAATGATGACAAATATTGAAATTATTCATCTCTTACGCGCGCGTGTCACACGAGATGGCACAATTTGTGCTAAAAATAGCACATTTGGCTATTTTGATGGAACCAACCCCATTACTTGAAAAGGTACTAGCTGCGGTCTCCTACCCCAATTATGGCTCCTGAATACAATTAAATAAGTCCTGTCGCAATTCATTGTACCCATCGCAAAACATCAAGAAGTGTTGTTCATCTTTGATCTGGTTTTGTTTGCAAACCAAGCACGTTCTGTCTTCTTCAGGTATTACTACGCAACATTTTCCGAACTTTCCAGTTTGTATCCCTAGTACAGGGCCCCTAATCTTAGTTATGTGAGGCTTATCTTGTAGGCTGGGTTTTTTATTTTTTCGAGATAATTTTCGAATTGATACAATTTTTCTTCTTTAAAAGTAATTTTTTGTCTTGAACTTAAGGAAACACTATTTTGGTCATTGAGCCATTTTTGGTTATACTCTTTCTTAGAGCTGCCTTAAGTTGGCTGAACACAGTTTTGCGGGCGACGCGTGTTTTAAATTAGACAAACAAACATGGCGGCGAAAAAGCAAGGGCACACAGGAGACAATTTCTCAAAATCTACTCATTAAAATCTTGTGATATTTTGCTGAAGTTTTTCTTTTATCGCATTTTAAATAATGAGAACTTTTAAAATGGAAGTTGACCAGACGAATTTTGTGACATGTTTAATAATTACAGTACAATTATATTATTAATCATAACTATAACAAAATTCTCAAATCTGATTGGTTCTCAACTGCCCTGATTTCAGCCTTAATAGGACAGTTTAATAGGACAGTACGCGTCATGCCTATGTAATTGGACAGTACGCGCCATCACGCGCGCGCTTAAATGGTTTTTTTTTTCATTGCTAGTGAAAAAATCTTGGAATTTCTTGTGTTTTGATTTAAAAAGAGCCCTCTATATCACAAATTTTGTTAAAGTTATGATTAATTGGTAACAGAACTTCGTGTCGTCCAATTCGGTCTGTAATCATACTCGTGATTAAACAAATCGGACTCCCGCTACGCGGTCGTCCGATTTTGTTAATCACTCGTATGATTACAGACCGAATTGGACTCCACTCAGTCCTGTTACCATTACTGATTATCTAAAAACCCGTCTGTTAAAATTTGGTCAAATACCGGTAAGTTTCAAATAGTAATGATAGGCTCCTGTATATGATTAATTGTAGTAAGCAGTGTGCTAGTTTTCAAGGAAAATCTAATGAGCGAATTTTATGTGAACTGAGCAAAAGTGAAATTTTATGGTTGTATTCAATTCATGTGCTCCTGATCGTTCATGTTGCCATGGAAACTACGAAAACGCCGAATTTTACCTGTCAATCAAAATCTTCATCAGACGTATTTCTCAGCTTGTGTGCAGCAATCTTTCTTTTGCCTTGATTTGGCAAATGTCACACACTCACAAACTGCCAAAGCTGTGTCCATGTACAGCCACCTTAAATTTCAGGGTATGCTCATGCTCGTTGTCGGAGCAATAAGACCATTCTGGGCGTGGCTCAGAGTTTATTTGACCATCATAAATGGAGAGCTTGCTCGCAGACTACGTGGGAGACTATATTTGACCCCTACTACACATCGACACAGTAAGACAGCATTTGCTCTTTTATATAGACATATCTATAAAGCGATCTTTATGGCTATTGCAAAACATTGACTATCCAGAATTTGGCTTTCGTCATTATATATAAAAAGCTGCAATTTCTACCCTGTTTAGCGTATTTTAAATAAATTGGGGCCGATTTAATACCTGCAGAGTCCCCGTTAGCCTGCGAATTCAGCCAGCTGTCTCCGGCCACAAAACTCCCCTAGCGGCGATATCTGCAATTCTCGTCAAATTAAGTTGGGACACCCCGCGCAAAAACCATATATCGACAAAACGTTGTGCTCTTCCCCTCCCAGTGTTGAATTATTCGCTTCTGTGATACCAACTCGCACAAACCAACATTGGGAGGGCAGAAAACATCCCAACTGCCCCAACTAATGTGACGAGGATTGTTCACAGGCTAGAGTCTCAGCCCGGCGGAAAACGGAAACATAAGCGGCCATCTCACTAGCTTATCACGTGCGATGCATGCGCTTCATATGTTCTTCTTGCAACCCTCCCCACCCTCTGTTTTCTTGACGAGCCCTAGAAAAAGAGATACACTTTCCTGAAGTCACACACATACAATTCGACTTTGTATACTGCGTCGTTGCGTTGATTGATCAAAAAGGTAAACGGAGAACAATAATCGAAAGAACTTGTGCCTTACAAAGACAGGATTTGGGGACTATTTTGGGAAAACTGTAAGTATTACATCGGCCGCATAGGGTTTGCTGTAAGTGGAAAGATTTTCATCGTTTTCTGTGCCGCCAGCTCTCCCATCTCCAAGTTGAGATCTTGCCTGCAGGCTATCAAACAACGAAATTTTTAAACTTGATATATTCTTTAGACTCGTTTTGCGGATCTGTTCTCCTTTGCGGTCAGGAAAACAATACTTAACTTGCACGTACTCTGTTTTTTCAGTGTCCGCGGGATCTCTGTCACTTCCTGTCTGGTTGAATATTCGATCATGGATAACGCAGTCAACGAAGGCTAGGATAAGCTCAAGCGTTTAGGATTTTTCCACTGTTAGTTAGTCATCTTCCATCTCTCGCGTTAATTATCAAAGAACATTGAGAGCCCCCTAGCGTATTTTAAATGGTCTGATCACCATGATTCCGGATTTCTTCTGTCGTGGGTGGAATGCAGTTCGAGTTAGATTCTGGAGTATTGGTTACAAGAAACGCATCGTACTTCAAGGCGGTATTGTCATTTGCATCGCGCTGGCGTTATTTTTGGTTTGGACTTCACTATTCGCGGATTTAGCCGACCTGGACATAACACAAAAACTGGAGGGAAATGGTAGCACAATTTGGGATAAATGGGTTGAGGAGAGAGGTCTAAAATCTATCGGAGATATCTGGGATGGCTGTGGTGAGCATTTTAATATAATTTCATACCCTTTGACCTTGTAGAATTATCGCGAAAGGACAAACAGAAAAAATATTGGAAATCCTCACTTGAGAAGAAAGAAAATTAAAAGTTGCTGATTCTAGTGTAGCAGGGAAACTATTTAGTTTCATTTGAATGATCACCGTTTAGGATTTTATCTATGTTATTGTAGGTTATATAATCCGTTTTATCCAAACCCTTCCCGATTAATTAACTGTTGAAATTTTGTTAATTCGGAGAAAAAAAACGCAGATTTTGGTCTTTTCTATGAGTCGAAAGGTTTTTAAAGAAACCTTTTGGTTGGAAGCTATACAATTAAATATTAGATGTAAAAATGTTTACTACGGTCACAGCATGTGAGTGTTCTTCCTTTCATCATTGTTTCATGTTTTTGCTCGACAAGAACAAAAAATTAAGAACTCGAGGAAAAAGGAACGTCTGTATTAAATGCAGCTATTAGTAGAGCCTTACCTGTTTATTGATTAATATTCATCGCAGATCTCGGAAGTTTCATTTTTATGGTTTTCAACTCTAGACTCGCGGGGAATTTATTATAAAATACCCGTGACATGAACAACCTTTGCCCTTCAAAACTTTAGGTTGAGTGTTGACGTGAAAAGTATCACCCGGTGCGTTTCCTGTAGGCACGCCATTTGTTTAAAGTGAAAAATCCATTGAACAGGTTATACTTCTGGTTATCTCTATGTTCTTGTTTAAGTGCTAGAAACCTGTGATTTCTTCCCTGAAGAACAATTTCCTGTTTTGCTGTAAACCTTACAAAAAGGTCAATGTCAGATTATGGGTGGTTAAAATTTAAAATAATAATTATGATGAACGAAAAACAGCATGCATTCTACCGAACAAACTTAGATAGAGTTTCGTCACGCAATCGTCATTCTCCTCCTGGAAAAGCGTTGCGTGACGAGGAGACAACGCGATACAACCATTAGCACAGCTCATGTTATCAGTGGTGGATCCAGGGGAGGGCCTGGGCCCCCCTTATTTTCAGACGAAACTGAGGCCCCAACGGCCGAAAAAAATTTTTGAAACCGGGCTTCCCCCAACCCCCTTATCTCAGGGAGTGGATGACCGGGCCCCCCTATCTGAGGGTCTGGATCCGCCGCTGGTAATACAGGTAAAGTTGAAGGTTGAGCTCACTTTAAATTAAAGAGGCAGTAGAGCGCTTTTTTTTTTTGATGAAAAAAACCATTATGATTGTATAAAATTTGAAGGATTCTTCCTAGCGTGGGTAGACTGCAAACAGTCAGCGCGAACAGTCAAACTAAAGGTCTTGAGCGAGGCTGAAAATGGGAAGAGACTTTTTTTTTCTCACGCCTCAACGGGCGTGTGAGGCTCGCACGCTTCTCGCGCGTGAGACTCTTAGGCTACTTACGCTGCCTAATAGCTGATTTTAAGAAAAAAAAGGACTGTTTTGCGGCACAGCCAAAGACGTGATGGGTAAGCTCTCTTTTGTAAAAGTTGCAATGTATTGAGACGTGTTGACAATATTTAAACAACTTAGATTTAAACTAGTTTACTTTGACTTGCAGATCCCAGTAAACCCAGAAAAAAGATAGGAAAAGTGGTGATTCATTATGACTCAAAACTGAAGCGTGTAATCGCGACAGCTGTATCAAATTTTACAGCAAGTAAGTAGTTAGCCTGTGCCAGGCTCTCAGATAGTATAGTGGAGACGTATTTGAAACGAGCAGAGCGAAAATTAGACGCGCGAGTTCTGGGAAAGGGGTTTTTGGCATCTCTTTTTACTGAACGACTTCACCACTATCTTGGAGAATCCTTCGTTTGCTCGTTTCAAATACGTGTCCACAATTTTATCTGAGAGCCTTGCACAGGCTAGTAAGTCGTGTTCATCCCCCTCCAATTTCTTCACCCCTTTTTAATCTATTATGCAATTAGCCTGTGTGCAGACGCCTCGTAATGACATTTTGTTGCACGCGGAATTTGGGCTTGCCGGGATTCGAACCCGACCTCTGTGACACCGGTGCAGCGCTCGATAACCAATTGAACTAGCAAGTCAGTAGGGAGCTGGTCATGCATTAACTTGGCTCCCAGTTTACTTGCTAGCATAGGTTGAGCAGTCAAACTCCGCTTTAAGGACACACGCTTAGTACAGACACCTCATTATTACCGACAGTTTTCCATGTCCCTGGTGAAAGTAAGCCCTCACATTTTCTTTAAATTCAACCCGATTAAGACAGACACCCCGATAATACGGACACTTTGTATGGCCCCCTTCGGAGTCCTTATTAACGGGCTTTGACTGTAGGGAAGCGCTGCACCGCTGCATCGCAGAGTGCCCTTTTGTTTTGAGGCTTTCTTGTCGCAATTGAAGTTGCGTCTTTAACTGTGATGATCTTATTTGTAACTGTATTTGTGAATTTTTCTTATTTTCTTACAGAAGTTTCACTTCATGGTGGAGCAGTACATATACTGGCCAAGTTCAGAGGCCATACTCTGTATGATGTTGAACACGACATATGTAAATTGGATGCAGAATCATTTTCTTGTCCCATGCACAAAGGTATATTTACTGTCTTGCCGTCAGTAATCCTTTTTGATTAACAGTAGAGACTCATATTAAGTAAGTAGAATGTGATCGTCCGTGAGAGTGAGTAACTAGAATGTGATCGTCCGTGTGAATAAGTGACAACCCCCAGATAGAAAGATAGCAAGCTATCAACAGTTGACGTCCATCACGCCTGTTTGTGCAAAACTCTTGTTTACCATTCACGTGGACAAACTGGTCGGTTCACGGTTTGGTTAAATGGTACGCAAAATTCAGGACTGGTAAATTTCGTCCCGGAATCGCGTTTACCATTTGCATAAATCAGTTCCATTTACCGAAAAACAGCCGCCGGCCGCGAAAGCCTGAAAATGGTATTAAAAATGGCTTTGAAGAAATGGAACAGGAATTTCCGTTTGGAACATTTCAAACGGGAAAAAAGGACTAGTCTACCTTTTTAGACGTTCCGTTGCTCCTGGAAATTTTCCCACTGTAACGACCTGAAAAGTCGTGCTACATTTACTTTATAACTGGATTTTCCGGAAACTGTTTGTAAATGATAAACGACCAACTTTTTGCCGTCGTTTCACGACTACGACGTCAAACTAAACGCGACAATGTTTAAAAAAATAGAATGAATTCAATTATGTTATTCAATGACTTTTTCTATAACGGCGCCGTCGTTGTTGCTGATTAAAAGCTTCCTACTATCTTTCTAAAAATTCCGTTTTGGTCAGGAGGGAAACTTTCTGAAACTTTCGTCCCTCGGTTCTCGCGACCTCATCGATCAAAGAAGTCGACTTGTGTTCAAGTCCATTTGAGACGTATATGTGTATTTTAGCTGCTTAACCGACCTTGCCCAGTTATAAGAAAAAGCCTCAGTAAAGAATACCTCAAGAATGGCAAATACCATCTCTATCTCTCTCATCTCAAATATTCGTTTTATGGCGAGGTCCTTCCTATAGATTCATAAGGAGGTCTCCGGTGTTCCTTTTTTCCAAAAAGGGAGATCACTGTAACTAGGTGTTGAGAGTTGACAGTTTTAGCAGTGTATAATTGAGGTATCTCACGATCAATGGTTTTTTATTATTTCAGGTCAAAAGGTGTACGTACATGAAGCAATCAAACTTCCAAAAATGATTCCAAGGGTAACAAAACATTATTTTATATATTAAGTTCATTTTAGACTGTGAAATGCAAAGGAAAAGCAGTTTACACAGCAGCAAAATGTAACCAAACAAAAACAGAGATATATTTGGCCATCCATTCTTCTTTGTTATTTATTTTTCTATTGAGGCGCTAACCTGAGAAAAAAGCCGACATTTTACGACGCCACCACTGCTTTTCCACGAAATGACGTTTAAGGAACGACTGCAGAAGTTCCATCCTGATGAGGTGTCACTATCCAGGTCTGGGTATTGCTTCTTATTGGTTGCAAATGCTTCAACCAAGAAGCACTACCCAGATCTAGCACGTACGTCATCAGTGTGGAATTTCTGCGCTCGCACCATAGGCCCTAGCCCGTTCCAGGCTCTCAGATAGTGGGGAGGACGCGAAAGAAAAAGGAACGCGAAAAGTTGTCGGGGAGGGAAAAAGGAAAAAGGAAGGGAGAGAGAGCTGCTCTCCCCAGTTTCCTCCCGTTATATTGTTTGCGCTTTCTCAATTCCGCGGACCTGACAATCTCGGAGCCTGGAACAGGCTACATAGGCCCCGTCCACGCTTATCCGGATATTTTTGAATCCGTAACTTTTTCTTTCCAGATACTAAAATCTCCGCGGCCACACATATCCGGATATTTTTGAATCCGCAAATTTTTGTTTGCTCGAACTGTCTTAAATATTCACGGTAAAGAACTGGGCTCTATCTTATGATGTCAGTAGATACAAAAAATATCCGGATTTAGCGTGCACCCATTCCCGGATACATAGCGGATTCAAAAATTTCTTCCACTCTGGAGAGCGGATTCAAAAAGTTGCGGATCGTTTCTTCTGCCGGATACACCGGATTCGTGTGTACGGTAGCCGTATCCGGAAAGAAAAAGTTGCGCACTCAAAAATATCCGGATTAGACGAGATGGAAACTGGGTCGAGTTAACTTTCGCAAAGACTACTGGGACGGTTACCAGGGACAGGGGAAAAACACTGGCCAATAGCTGACCGGCGCGCCACCAGTGACAATCCCAGAAATAATTGCGCGCCGCATCTCGGCTCCAGTTCCCTCTTTGTTTCTAAAGTGGCGAGTTTCGAGGGGAAACCAGTGATGGCTTAGCCTCCCCGCATACGTCCTTTGGGGTTCGTTCGTCACGCATTCATTTCTCCCCCACGGACGTGGGGGTGAAATGAATGCGTGACGAACGAACCCCAAAGGATATCTGCGGGGAGGCTAGTGATGGCTTCACGAGATTTCGGCCGTTTTCTCAGGCTAGTCAGGCGTTAAACTGATGGATGATTACTTGCTGTAGTTTTTTCATGTTACTGCATTTCTGAAATGGAATATTTCCTCAAAGGCTATAAAGTTGTTTGAAAAATACAGGATTGTTCTTTCCTTTTAGGGTGAATACTATGCTTCTGCCAAGCTGTTAAATGAGAAAGAGGAATGCCTTGGAATGACAGAATCCGACATCATACTATAATTAGAGTTAATAACAATATCATATTAATATTAATTTAATATTAGATTTGTATTCCAAAAGGTACATTCCTTGGATATAACTTAAAGCTTTTTTTAATGCAATTCAAGTTCGTTTATCTAATAGAGCGTTTTCACCTGACGTCACGGCGGCAATATCGGTGTTCCAAACCAATCCTGTGGGAGTTGAACTCTTTTCTTATGTAACTTTCTTTTGTTACAACAAATTTGCAAAAATCCTGGCCAAGTGAGTGATAACGCTCTTCTCTATAGAGAGAAGTGTGACGTCACGTTACCATGGTAGCATAACGGCAGAAAAGCAATAGGTTTGGATAAGCAAAACAATAACTTTGCACGTGCATTACGCCTTTTTGTACATTTCATAGCCCTCTTTATGGAGTAAGTGAACACAACACAAAAATTTTGTTTTTCTTAACTTAGGTATGGTCCTTTCTGTTTCAACTCCGGAAAATTTTGCCAACATTTGACAAATTCAATAAAATTGAATAAGGTCCATGAAGATATTATTGGTGTTCCTAGACAATGAAACGTCGGCTATGTTGGAGTCCCTGTGAGCCTTTTTCTTACTTGCGTAGCTGCTGGCCACGTTGATGAAAACGCTCTAAAGTAAGAGGCTTACCTAGCCTGTTCTAGGATGTTAAGATAGAAGGAAGGGCAAGAAGAGGTGAGTCAGGGTCGGCCAGAGGGTAATGGTATACCAATATACCTTCTAGAAATTGGCCTAAATACTTATTGCCAAATGTTATTTCTTTTAATAATATACCTTAAGCTGAAAGAAGGTTGACATATTCCATACGTAGAATTATTAATAATTTCAACCAAAGGAAAACATACACTTCATGAAAAGAGAACCCGGTATACAATATAACCAAACACCATGGCTGACCTCAGGCAAGTAAAATACAGTTAGGGAACTGACGACTGCCTTTGTTTGTTTGCTCCCATGGAGCTTTAAGACATTACTCATAGAAATTATTGTGGTAGCCTGTTCCAGGCTCTCAGTTAGTAGAGATGACGCGTAATTAAAAGGCACGTGAAAAAACGTTAAAACGTGAAAACGTGATCTGGGAAAAGGGGGTGCCGCCTTTCCTCTCCCTAGTTTCTTCCCGTCGTATTTTGTGTTCGCACGGACCCGACTATCTCGGAGCCTGGAACAAGCTAACATTGTAGGCTCTTGTAATTGTGTGTAGTTTGGGTGAGCAGCCGGCAACATATTGACTATTTTTCGAATCCCTTATAATACACTCTCTTTGCCCCCCATATATTGCATAAGTTGTTGTCTTCAAATGCTCTTGGGAAAATTCAGTTCTCCTAGGAGTATTTGAAAAACAATGGTTTATGCAAAATTTGGGAGGCAGACACAGTGTCTTATTAGAGAATTAAAGGAGCTGTGTCACGTTATCAATCAAATTTCAAACAGTTGGAACCACCACCAAACTGAGTGAAACATAAAAAAACTGCTCAAAACACGAAACGAGGGTATAAATAACATAGCAAATACAAATTATAACATAGCTAGAAAATTCGCCTAATCAAATTCAATAGCGCGAGCGTGCTTCATATTCCTATTGAGCACGCTGATGACGTCAATAAACTATTCGTAATTCCTCGAGTTGTTGTGAGCTTAGCAATCCTGAGTCTCCTGAGTGAATCCATAACTCAGCAATAGACAATGAAGCGTTTACCATGTGTTTTGTAAAGAAATTTAAGAGGAAACGTTTGAATTTGTTAACCGATAGTAAGGAAAAGAGGTGAGTGTTGTTGTTGTTGTTGTCATCTCCGCGAGTTGTGCGGGCTATGGCGTGAGCTCATTCTTTGCAAAGTTGTTTTCTCTCAATAACAATTTTTCGGGAAATTAATAGTTTTCCGACACCTAAATATGGATTTTACAATCATTTTAGAGTACACTTTCTCTCAGTTTCAGGATAAAAACATAAGATTAACTGTGAGGAAAAAAGATATATTCACGTAAACATTGACGCGTACTGCTTTGAGCGCGCCCTTCAATAATAAAATTTTCAGTTAACTGCTGCATTGATCGCTTTGATAATGTTATAAAACAATTAGTTCATGCTGCAGCTGTGCGTATGTCGAGATATTGAGCACTTGGGAAGTTTGGAGAGCACTCAAGAGGCTAGAGTTGCACTCGGCTGCGCCTCGTGCAACTCTTACGCCTCTTTCGTGCTCTCCAAACTTCCCGCGTGCTCAATATCTCGACATACGCACGCTGACGCATGAACTAATTGTTAAAGGAAAAAAGGATGAGCAGTCTTGAAGAAGATTGGAACGGATGACAATTGCGGTTTTTGAAACCTTGTTAGCCTCACAAGGTTTCAAAGTTCATTTTTGTTGCTGGCAACCTCTGACATAATGCTTGGAAGACATATTCCAGTGGCGGATCCAGGAGAGGGCCCACCCCCCCCCCCCCCCTTAATCGTAGACCAAACTGAGGCCCGAAGGGCCGAAAAAATTTTTTTTGGAGACCGGGCCCCCGCTTATCTAAGGGTCTGGATGACCCCCCCGCCCCCCGCCCCTTATCTCAAGTTCTGGATCCGGCACTTATATGTTTGACACGAAGCAGAAAGTAATATTACTCAAGTTCAATCGCAAATAAGGACGAGGGATTGACATTATTGACAAAACAAACTCGACAACCGTGATTCAGCCCATTAGAATGCGTGTATGTGGACAGTAAAAAAAGTATTTAATTTGCATCTACATTAACCAAGGAACATGTGCTGACAAGTAGGTAAAGAACACCCTGGTGTTACAATGTTTTTGACACTTTGCTTGTTTGCAAAGATAATTTAACATTCAGTTAACCTTTTGTTTTGTTTAGACAACAGAGGATCTCTTGGTCCAGATAATGCCACATTGTTTTTTGGTGTGCTAAATGGCAGCGTGGCATTTGTAATATTGAAAGCCGGAAACGGGATTTTTTCCACTGACTCAACAGTTTAATCTCTAGCCTGCGAAAACATCCGTTTCTCCTCGCTCTTCGTCGCTGAGGACGTTTCGCGCGGAGGAACGTTCCTCCGCGCGAAACGTCCTCAGCGACGAAGAGTGAGGAGAAACGGATGTTTTCGCAGGCTATTTAATCTCTTGCTTTGACACTAGGAAGGAGAGTGCCACTGAACACATCGTCGGAGACCCAGATCGATCTTATAGTAAACTTCCGCCACGAACATTCTATCTTCCCGACTAACTGCACCTGGGTCTCCGAGGATGCGCTGAACAAAGCAGATTGACAACAGGTACACCACGCTCTGTTCGTGTGGCTGTTATTGAAATCTAGGGATCAAACTAGAAAAGAAAACAGATGAACATTTGCTCCAGGAAACAGATTTCATTGTACCAGTAGATGGTTCAATAAAATTTTAACACTCCCAATTACCCATTTAAAAACGAGTGATTGGGCATTTTGTACCATCCTAAGATTAGTTAAGTCTTTGCTTTTGCAACATCATTTCTTGGCAGCTATGGTCACAATAGTTACCCGTATTTGTATCTTCTCTAGACTGACGTAGCCTTCGAACGGCAGACGTTTCTCCTCGCTCACCGCCTCTGACGGACGTCCCTCAGCGGCGATGAGCGAGGAGAAACATTTGGCGCTCGCAGGCTGATGTTCTGTTTGCGGTAACAACCACACAAACAGTGGGTATTTTGCTCATGGGTGGCTATGTGGTTACACATTTTTCTTTACAGTTCAAACACAAAACATACTACAAAACAATTTCTAAAAATACTTTATTTTTAAGAGTTTAGATAGCGTGGCAACGTCGAATCATATCAAACCAATTTTAGCAATTATTGACACACTTCTATCACGATATTTATGACTTTTAACTACTGTTCTCTTGACTAATGTTCTACTTAAACTATAAATTAATAAGAAAAAATCTCATTTTAGACAGTTAAGGTTCTCCTTAAATCCAAAACTATTCAATAAAGTAAAATGAAGTTGACTGAGATGGTTATCAATTCAATATTTTTTCAAATAGCTTTGGCAAAACAAATGTACTTACTACAATGTGGAAGTCACAAATGTCCATGCCAATTTTAACTTGACTTCAGCAAGACAATATAATTTGGATGAAAATGTATATTAAGTACAACACACAAAAGAATCATAACTGTACCTAAAGGATTTTATTTAATATTTTAAGGAAGTGAGTTTAAATCACCCTTGAAAGTACTCAAAGCGGTATAAAATTAATGTACATGACCTTGGTGAGGCCCAACGCTTTCTCTTAACACACAACAGAGCCATTTTCGTGTGACCTTGTTCGTTATTTGTTTTATCAGCTGATGGATGAAAAGATCAAAACATGGCCTCTTCGTTTTCCCGCCAAAGAAACCCTAATATGGAGAAGGCATTGTTCAATTAGCCAATCATGTTGCAGTATCACGTCAAAGCAAAGTATTGGTTGATTTCTAGAAAGTTTTTCATGCGAGCGTTCGCTTAACCAACCAAAAGCCACGCACGTTTGTATCTGTTCGATAAACCAATCAAATCACTCTATTTCTGTTCGTTTGTTGTTTCTGTTTTGTTCGCGCGTTTTCATTTCAAGGTCATACGAAAATAGCTGTAATATCAAGGAAAAATCTTGCACTGTATGTCTAAGTTGCAAAACAATAAAATGTAAAATTTTTTTGCCTTTGTGCAGACACCCCTATTTCTTTGGTGTCCCTTCTCCGCGTGCAACAAAGGAATAGACCACTTCTGAGTTCCAAAAACCCTCACTTTCAAAATAAGGCCAAGTGCACAACCTTTCTTGTGAAAATGAGTTTTTGGCATGAGAATGATAACTCATTTGCATATCAAAGGCTGAGCACTTAACCTCGTTGTGATACAGAGGCCCAGGTGAACTCGGAAATGGTCTAGTAGGAGACATCTGCATGTAGGCTGGTAATTTTATTGATAGTAAGCATATTTTAATATGATGCAAGATCACAGTCCCATTAAATTCAATGAAGAATAATTTACAATCAATATAACCATTACAAATATAAAATGTAATATCTACTTACTTATGTCTTATGATTAAAAATACCATCTGAAGTCAATCTGTCTATCCTGTCATTATTATTGTGGAAACATCTTTACAAAGAACAAAACCTTCCATTGCAAAACCTTGCAAATGACAACTTCTTAATATCAAAATCCAATGTATAAAATTCCAAGAATGCTCCCTGTAAATTTCCAGCACTTCAACAAGCTGTTTAAACTGACTTTTAAACTAGTTTTTGTGAATGATAAAGTGGTTGGGGATGTAAAAGATTGAAATGTAAACTTTTTAGGCTTAGCTTTTCATGTGACTTTCACCCATTTTTTACCAAGTAGGCAAATAATAAAGCCAAACCAACAGGGCGGTTTTAACCAGGGGGGCGCATTTACAAACTTTTTGGGGAAATGTTTTGTTTTGTTTTAATATTACATGTAGGTTTTAATTTGCTGGCTTGAGAGTCAAGAATGATCTTGAAATGTTTTCATGGTAAGAAAGGAAATCTTCACTGAAGAAGATGCTCGATGTTTTGGGAGGGTTAAATACCTCCAGACCACCGCAGGGGAGGGCCATCTTAGCTTTGGCATTACTACTGAAATCACTAAACTGTTAGCATCCCCAAAAAACCAACCACACGATTTGAATTTTTTAACAGCTCACATGACAATTCCATTGGCAAGTGCCCTGTTGGTCACGTGACATTCCTTCCCTTTTACAAAAGCAATAATGATGGTTCATGGTTTGAATGCCCTTGTTTTTAACTGCTACAGTAGAATTCTCTAGGAACATCTCTACCTCCTTTCATAATATCATCAATAATCCGTTACCTCGCATCTTGTCCAATTTACAGATTTGCCATGCACAAAAGTGCTACCTAAAGTATTCATGATCATTTTGACTGCAAAACATTTGAGCCATTGAAATTGCCTCCCTTAAATTAGGGAAAGTCGCACTACGGATGGTCATGTGAGCTATTAACAAATGCAAATGCAAACAATCAATTTTTTCGCAGAACTAATGGTTTATTGATTTGGGTAGTACTTGCGGTCTGTCAATTTCCAAGAAATAAAAATTCCATAAAAACAACATCAGTAAGTAGCGGGGAACCAGTAAGTTATACCTGAGATGACTAAATGGATAAGGGTCGGGGGGGTGGGGTGGGGAGGGTGCTCCCTTTAATGGCCTAAACAAGGAGGCTCTGTCCATAAGGTGTACCTTTTTCAGGCTTCAGCTTTATAAATTAAAGGTGATATTACAAAGGACGATTTGTGACAGCGATTCTTAGCGCAATACAGCGTTGCAATATTGGAACAATGTTGTAACCATTTTAAACAATGTTGCAACAATGTTGCTGTGTTGCGCTAAAAATCGTCACTGCAAATCGTCTTGTTTAACATTACCTTAAAAGGGTAAAGATTTCAATGGCTGATGTATTTGAAAGGGTACGGAAATCTGTCATTTCGGTCTGTCAAAGGACCTAAGAAGGATAAAGGCTTTGAAAAAGTCGAAAAAATTTCCTTGTTTTATGATAAATTTATATTTGAAATACAGTGCATTCACAGCAGTTAAAAAGATGCAAAATTCTAAGCTACATGTAGGTATGTGAAACAGATGTCATTTGTCAGTGGAAGGTATATGTAAGGGGTAGCATTTTTGTCAAAAATGGTATATAAAAGGGTGAGGGGTTGGACCTTGGAGAAGAGCCTCCCTGTATGAAACTGTGTTGAGTACCCCCCCAACCCTGCCCCTTCTCTCAACCCCAGGCTAAACATCAGGGTTGCATTACATTGCAATATGATAAAAAGATAACTTAATGCTAACTGGAAGCACTAATAAAATTGTTATTAAGAGTACAAGGATGAAACATTAGCCATAGTATTGTTCTCACTGTGCCACTCAAGCGAAGAGACCAAGGCGAGTTGTTTTTGCTGACAAGAAAGTGTGCATAACAAACACTACTGGTTTGGGGCAGCCATGAAGATCCAACTCTAGATCCAATTCCTGTAGAGAAAGACATTTTGTGAGATTAAATTCAGGAAGGATGATTCTTGGGAGAGAAAATGGCAAGAGTCATACAGAAATATTGCAAACTGTAATGAGTAGCAGCCAAATGACGGTCAATTATGCCTTGAAATTTGTACAATTAATAAGTAGACCGCTAGTCCCTGGGAGGATCTTAAAATTACCCATCAAGGTTGCTGCTCTTGAAAACAAAACAAATGCCTGACTTCTAAGCGACATCAAAACAATTTTATTGCGCTCAAAATTCATTTTTGCACCTTACAGTGTAGCTCCTTTTCCAGGCCAGGATAATCATCTTGTTGTTTTCTTCCTTGTTTTACTATTTTTTTTACAGGCCTTGGAATATTGACATCACTTAATGAAAGCATGATTAATAATACTGTGACTAAAACAACTGTCATCAGCTACAGAGTACTTCATTACCTGGTCTGACTCATCAGCTCCAAATTCTAACCACAGCATTCTTTGTCCGTCATCAGCTGAGCGTTTCAGTTTTTCAAATGGGAAGTACCACAAGACCTGTGATCGTCCATTGCCTTCATTGCGAGCATCAGTCAGAGTGAATCCGTTTTCATAATGAACAGTAAGACGAGCATCTTGGTCTCTCCAGGTTACAGCTGTTGAAAAAAAAATCCAAACAAAATTTTCACTTCCAATTTGCCTTTTTTAAATATCAGTGTCTTTCTCTCTCTTAACCCGTTTAGTCTTTTCTCCTAAAACCATCAATTTACAATATCAAGTGAAAAAAGGTTATGATAATTATTAAAATTATCAACAGTAGGAAAATGCTTTAATCTTTTGTCAATTTTCTCAACTAATTCTTGCAGGAAATGTATGGAGATCAGTCTGGAGAATTTGTATGTGGATATTGGGGCTGAAAGGGTTAACAGACAGGACTTAGTTCCTGCCATTCTTCATCATTTTCTTTGGCTCTTGATAAGGCAAACACCTTACTTAAGGCTGATTTAGACAGTACAACTTTTGCTTACGACTATCATGCCCGCATGACTTCATGGCAGATCGTGTCATGTAAATTAGACCCACACATTCGTATCACACATTGTGGATGTCGTAAGTGAAAATTGTGCACGTGTGGATGGTCGAAAGTCATGAAGTATACTACTTGCGCACGATAGCTGTAAGCAAAAATTGGCCTTTAGATAGAGACAATTGATTATTGAAAGGTTGTGCTCTTGGAAAAGTTGTAAAGGGAGCCAAGAAGTGCTGAACATAACAAACTTAGGGTGGCACCTTAGCTTTGTGCATAAGTCAGATTTCCATGGTGTCCAAAGGCAAAATAAAGTCACCAGGGGCCACCAGGTTTTGCTGAATCACAGCCTTGCTGCACACTTATGTATTAACATTGGCATATTTTTAACATAAAAAGGCACCAGTGCCAGAGCTGTTGTTAAGGGCCATAACCTGTAACACCAGTTACTAGTAATAAAGCTCTTACCACAGTTTATTTCTTTAATCAGTGTAGCAGCATCATGGGCTCCCTGCACCAAACTGCGTGACCAGTTAGCTAACTCTCTTGGGGTTTCCACTCTAAACATATGCGCCTCTACTCCTTTTCTTGTACCAGTACGAGTTCCAAATGTCAGGTCTTCCTGATGAATGTGAGTACTGCCTTGCCCAGAATGAACAAGTCTGCAAATGTCATAGGTAAATAAAATTTTGATATGACAGTTTGTCTAGACTTGAATGTTTCAATTGAGAGAAAAAAATAAAACATTTTTATTTTAAAACATTTTTATTTTAAAACATTTTAACATATTGATTGTCACAGGCTAACGTGAAGCAGCTTTACTTCTCAAAAGAGTAAAACGCATGCTCTGTTTAGGCTATGGTTTGTTACGTTACGTTCTGATTTATAATCTAGAAGTATCTTTTAATTTTCACTTGACATTTCTACAATTAAATGTGATTGAAATGTTCACTGTGCAGTAAAAACTGTTTTTTACCTTACTCTCGGCTATTTTCTTCGGGCTCCCGATAACTCGAACTCCCGATAACTTGAACTTTTTTTGATTTCCCTTGAAGGTTCGAGTTATCGGGAGTGGACTGTATCTTTATCACTGCACTTTATAGAACAGGTGTAACTCACCTTGTTGCCAACAAGGGATGGCTAGTAACAGGAGCACTCCAGTCGTCGCGTGACCACGGAGCTGCCACATATAACAACATGTCCTTCTCAGTAAGAGCAAGAAATACAGGTTTCCAGTCTGTGTGTGAGCTGTCTCCACCAAGATGAACTTGTTCACTAAGCCATCCCATGGCCTGTACTTCACGATAACCAGAATCTGAACTAAGCATGTCGTTAACTTCTTCAATGGCTAGAAGCAAAAATAAAAAAGTTAGGACACAGACAATAATTCCAGAAAAGTTCTACAAATTCATTTTACAGAAAACAAATTAAATTAACTTAGAAAACAGAAGTTAACTTTATCTCTCAATATTATGAATCCTTTAAGTCCCACGAGAGATGAACATCAAATTTAGTCTAACAACAACAATACATGATCAAAGGAATCAAAGGTTATGAGAATATAGTTATTATAATGTCAGGCCATGGTTTGCGATTTGTGATGGGTGGATTTTGATCTGTTTTTTGTGTTTCAAGGTTCGCTGCGTTTGGTCGCGTGTTTCTGAAAAGCGCAGTAACTTTTACCTTTATAGCTCTAAGTTTTTTTATCTTCTTATATACTGAAACATGGTAAGTTTCAGGTGTTCCTATAGAGCTTCCAAATCCAAGTGAAACACAGATATGGAAGGGTGAAAACGAATCGGTACATCGCCACTAACACATTTTTTTGTCAGCTTCTGTTTGTTATTGCTGTTATTGCTCGTTATTACAGAGGATGCTACGGTAACAGTTCGCTGGATGTTGCAGAAAAACCCAAAATCCTGAAACGTTTTTTGACAATAATTTGTACGAAGGTCGCAGGTTATCTAAAAAAAACAACAGCTATTTTTAGCCGGTCAAAACTTAGTCCAGTGCTGGCTATGTGATTTTAGTAAAATCTAGCTAGTGGTCTATTATCAATGCTGTGTTCTGATTGGTTAAGCTACTACTAGGCTTTATGTTATAGCCCACTAGTAGCGAAAAGCGCTGTATTTTTGGCGGCCAAAAAGGGTTAAAGTCTAGATTTACCTAGCTAAAGTAGTTTTGTCTCGATATTTTTGACCAACTGGTTGGATTTTACTAAAACAGTTATTCCTCTTGTCCTCATGGCCTCTGAGTCAATAGCCCATTACGTCTTGAGGAATAATAAATAACCTCAGTTAAAAGCCCTCTCCTCAAATGCCCTTTCAGTGGAGACTGTGGTAAAACTGACAATTTATTCTTTACGCCACAAAAGGACCTGAAAGTCATGTACCAGCAATTGATATCCAACTTTCACTATATGCTACTTCATGTTCATTGATTTCTTAAAGAAATGCTATGGTTGATTTATCAAATATCAGTTTGAATCTTCTGAATAATGAATGCATAGGGCAAATTATTCAGCTCGAAAAGTCTTCCAGCAAACTGTACATTAATTAATATTAAACCAAGAAAACTAAACTTAGATACAGGCTTGGATATCCACATACAGAGACAAAAACAGATACTTTGTTTTATAGGAAAAATTTTGAACATTTACATTTTGTAAGCTCGAATCAGAAATTACGGTATGTATTTCGACCACTTCAACAAGTTTTCGTTTTTCAGCAATTGATATCCAACTTTCACTATATGCTACTTCATGTTCATTGATTTCTTAAAGAAATGCTATGGTTGATTTATCAAATATCAGTTTGAATCTTCTGAATAATGAATGCATAGGGCAAATTATTCAGCTCGAAAAGTCTTCCAGCAAACTGTACATTAATTAATATTAAACCAAGAAAACTAAACTTAGATACAGGCTTGGATATCCACATACAGAGACAAAAACAGATACTTTGTTTTATAGGAAAAATTTTGAACATTTACATTTTGTAAGCTCGAATCAGAAATTATGTATTTCGACCACTTCAACAAGTTTTCGTTTCTTGAAAATTCGGGTCATATTTGTTGAAGAGATAAGCATTAAATATTAAATACAGCTAAAACAGAGCGCTTGACAAAATATATCATCTTAATTTTTTGTCTTTGTTCAGTAAACAAGCCATTAACACTGACAGGAATGTTTTGACTGTCTATGAATCACAGCAACAGTAAACAGGAAGGTGCGAACAATGCTCTCCACTCAAAAGTGCCACAATAATTGAATTTCCAAAAAATTCTCCCAGCTGTTCGCCCGAACCTTATTTACAAAGAAAGAAGGGTGATTGAAAAACGCTTGTTAAAACCCTCGATTTATTTTTTCAAGTAACAAGCACTTGACAGATCAGGACTATAAAAAATAAGCCGCGTTAAGGGGAAATTTAGTTAGTGTTTAAAAGAGTTCGCAATTTCAAGCATGCAGATGCAAAATAACACGTTAGATTCGCCTCAACTGCTGAATAAAAACTACGAATTAGTTAATTCACCCCGCCTCTGGAAGATAAGTGAAGAGTTAAGCCCTAAATCCGATGATCAAGAAGATTGAGATCGTTTGTAAAAAAAATCGCGAATGATATTTCCGACTTCGACGCCCAATTTTATGGCGCAAATTGTCGAGTCGTGAAATCGCATGATACGATACACAACATACCTGGTGTAATCAACCGTGTGATATTTGTATGAATATCAATAAACCATTGATTGGCCGACGATCCATCTTTTCCTCGCAAAATACAAGCCGATCTGCCATCAGGATTATAAAGCTCGAAAGTTCTTCCAGGACTTTCCACCTTCGGCGAAACGTGTTTAGTAACGAAGCACAACTTGAGAGGAATTTTCTTCACTTCGATACAATTCGCTTTGCTTCCTCCTTGATCACTGTTAGCACTCCCATTTGCAGCACCACTTGCGTTTAATTCAGCTGTACGATGGAAATAAGGCGTAACTTCTTTAACGTATTTCACAGTCAAATCGACCTCTTTGCCGGCGCGTTTCAGCGCCCTGACGGCTTCGTCGTGAGTAGCATTGCGAAGGTCTTCGCCATTTACTGCCAAAATAGCATCTCCTATGTACAAACTCTCCGTTTGATCTGCAGCTAGCCCTTTGAAAATCTTAGAAATGAGTATAGGCATCTTGTTCTCCTTGCCACCTTTGATACTGATGCCTAAACCACCGACTTCTTGCTTTATCACACGCACGGTACGTATTTGGTCCGCGATCGTTTGTGGTGGTTCCACATGGTCGTTCGCTTCTGGTGAACGCGGCGGGCTAGGGGAAGCCGGCTGGCCATTCACTGCAGAGTTATCTTCTACATTAAGAGTTAAAACATCGTCATCAAGGGTGGCCAGTACTCGTTTCCACCCATCTTTCGTGAAAATTTCTAACATTCCCGAACGTGATGTGGCCGCCATTATGGCCTCACATTCCCCTTGTGCGAGTAACTGCGGGGTAACCGAGAAGTAGAAAAGACTGGTAAAGAGTTGATTTTGATCGCTCTCGAAAAGGAGGATTTTTTATTTTATTTTTTATTTTATTTTTTTTCCTCTTGAAGATGAAAAAAAGTGAACGCCAATGACAAAATGGAAAATTGAAAGCAGAAATGTAGATGTAGTGAAATACTGGGGAGTCCAACGAGGGTACATGAGTTTTTTTTCATGTAGTTTTAATTTCCCGGTAATAATTTTGATGAAAGAGAGAGCAAATCCCATTGATTGCTTTCCGCTGTTGCATTCCCGTGGATGTCGACGAATGTATCCCCCCGTGATTTGTTAACAATAATTTCCGACTTCTAATTTTGCCTTTGTAATAGTCGGTGCGATTATTTGCCCGGGCAAAGCAATGTTGCGCGCATTTTTAGACTTTTTATGTTCCCCCGCTTTAGGGCAGTCGGGCCAACTCGGTGATTAGGTAATCGGCGGCCAGCTCCTTAGGCGGAATAGCCCGCCCTGTGCTTAATGATCGCTGATCAACATTCGTGGTGAAAGTTTATCATATTTTACAGGGTCGTTAAGGAACTATTCCCAAATTATTCTATGCGCTTGAATTTTCTTTTATTTTAAGGCTTTTTGTAAAAAGGGTTTACATTCGCCAAACAAATGGTAGTATAAGTATTGTATTCAAGTTCTCAATCTCTCAGTCTATTGTCCTACTATCATAAAAGAATTAAATAGTGTATTTTACTGACCAATGAAGTATTAGGATAAAAACGAGATATTACGAGAAACAAGTTGGGAAAGAAAACTTTGACCCTCGGTTCGCACACGCGACGTAATAGACCCCTGTATATAGCATACTTGACTTAATTGACTTTGAGTTTTAGGGAAATCATTGTTCTTCGGGGGACGTCCGCGTTTTTTATCCCAAAGTCTAAATTTCAAGGTACCTTTTCTTCAAACGAGTCTTTACTTAAATAAGATACTGCCGAGATACAGTAGAACCCCGGTAACTCGAACTCTGAAGGGAAACGTAAAACAGTTCGAGTTAGCGGGGAATTCGAATTATCGGGGTAAACTTCAGTGAAATTTTGATCAAGGGAAAGGAAAGTTTGTTCGAGTTAGTGGGCAATTCGAGTTATACGAGTTCGAGTTACCAGGATTCTACTGTATTTCAACCAAGGGGCGCGTCTCTCAGTTCTTTGGAACACAGAAAAAGTCAAAACAGGCATAAACTTTGTAGACTCCAGTGAATTCGAAGCATAGAAGTAGATTGCTTGAGCATATCAGGGGCACCCAACGAGAATATAGTTCAAGACCACTTAAACATACCATTGTTAAACGTATTTTAGTATTTAATCAGTAGATATATGCATATTTTTATCCCCTAAAAATGTTTCATCTGTTCGCATTTCCTAGCTGAAAGTCTAGTGATCCGAAAATTATAGCGATCAAAACTTACCTTTTCGAAAATTTCAGCTTGGAAAAAGGCTCCCGAAAATTTTAGGTGACCTTTTTAGGTTAAAAATTCGTTAAAAATGGGCAATTATACCATTTTTTTTTTAGATGTTCGAAAATTCTAGGAGAGGCAGACAAGCAAGAAATTTTACTACCGATGTTCCGAGAATTCTAGATCTCAAATCGTCTTCCGAACAGATATTTCCGAAAATTGACGTTGTGTGCCCCTAGAATATTCTATACTCAAAGCGTTAAAGTTTGTCACGAAGATTAACGATTATTTTTGTTTTTTTTACTTCAAAGCGAATCTGCAAAAATGAGATTTTGTTTCCTGATCGGTTGTCTTGTAGCAGTGTGCATAATCCCACACTTGACGTTTTCCGCCAATCAGTCGGTAAGGGTACATATTAACGTTCTACTGTGCAGCGAATGAATGCGAAAGTTAAAGCTGTTTTCCTTTTTTTTGCCTACATTTCTCTCGCTCAACAATGTTGAACAGACTCTCAGTCAAAGTAGTCAGAGGGAGTATTACACTGTAATTCATACTGCTTGAAGCGCTGATAAACTTAAAGAGTTCGGCTCTTGGTTTCAAGTATATAGATCACTTTGACTTTTATTGCCGGGGTCTTGTGACAGTTTTGGGAAAAGGACTACAAGGAAGTCCTACAATCACGGGTTCTTTGAAAGTGATTTGGATCTTTATTGGCCAGTTTACAGCCATACTGACGAAAATAATTTGAAACTGCGCACGCCACAAGGTGTGAAACCAGTCCTGGCGAAACTTAGCCGTGCAATTAGAATGACGCAATAGGTATGTTACAATTTGAAATGAAGTTATGATGACACCTCTGGACATATTTGCTAAAGTCACCCTGTCAAACAAAATCCAGTTTGTAACGCCTAATTAGCGACAGGACACCAAAGGACCACAGGAAACCCAATAAATCGTAAGTGACTTAATTGTATGTATATAAATTGCTTTGAAGACACAGAATTCAAGTCACATGTGCTGTGGAGTACCAGGGGTCCCAGGTGTTCCCGGTCTCAATGGAAAAGATGGGGCTAGAGGAGAGCAAGGATATGTGGGAGCACCTGGAAAAAAGGGTCCTATGGGACCACCAGGGAAGGCTGGAGGAAAAGGACCTCAGGGGGACAAAGGCGACCAGGGAAAGCAAGGACCTGTGGGAACCCCTGGGAAGAATGGTCTCAAGGGGTCTCCTGGTACGACTGGAGTAAAAGGCTCTCAAGGAGATAAAGGCGATCGAGGCCCCTCTGGTATTGTCCCTCAAAGAAACTGGAAACAGTGCTCGTGGAAACCTTTGAATGATGACAGGGACAATGGCTTGATAAAGGCAAAAGCTAACCTTAGGTGGGTTACTATACTGTCAAATTGACACTTTTTTCTCTAATCTGTATGATAATAATTATAATTTATATTTCGTGGCGGATAACTGCTACACATTCCTTTTTGCGCTACTCTTTTTCACTAACATTTAAAAATGTAAAATAAATAAATAAGCCAAGTAAAGCGTATGCCATCAATAAATACGGAGAATTGTGTTTGGACGGTTGTTTAAAGCATTGCTGTTAACCCCAAGCCCCTAGCTACAATCGTCATCATCATCATCATCTTCAAACCATTGAATCGTTACATTTTATCTAAATCTTTAAAACGACGAAAATTATAACTTTCATAATAAACATTGTCATAAAATCTGAAAAACATTTCTCATATTCAGCATGCTAATTTTTCTTGTTATTCTTAAAGGAATGCCATTTTGTCAAGAAGGCCAATAATACAGCTTTGAAGGTCGAGTTTGATGGCGATTTCAGGATTTGTTGCTGCGTGGGCTGTTGTAAGCGTTGGTTTTTCACTTTCAATGGTGCTGAATGTTCCAAACCAAACACAATCGATGCAGTTGATGCTATTGTTAGTCATCTCAGGAACAAAGATATCAACATTCACAAGCACAGTCAGATTGGAGGATACTGTGAGGGGATTGGCAAAGGAACCGTGCGAGTTGGTTTGGCGGTGGGAGACTGCGGTCATGGTTACAAGAGCGGTTCTGATGCCTACACTGGGTACATCTCCACCAGCCGCATCCTCATTGAGGAGGTACCACCACCCCAGTAGCTACAGAACTACGTGGTGTCTCCATAAAGCAGCTGATCATGAAGAAGCCATCGAATGCAGTGAAGAATTTGGATGCTTTAGTTTAGTTTGCTTCTTGGTTGCTGATTAAAATCTGACAGGGAAAGTTAAATAAAATGCATTAAAATGGAAAACAGTACTGGTGTGTATCTGAATGTCTATATGTCTTAGATGAGTTTGTACTCGGGTTGTTAATAAGCGTTAAACGGCCAAAATTGTCAAAGGAACTGAGCCGGAATTAGAGTATCGTTAGCAAGCTTATGATGTCACCCCCTTCTACAAAAAGCGTCAAAATTATGCTATTCAACCTTTTTGTTTTGAAGGGAAACTGGGATGTTGCATCGTTGAGGCTGTAAAACCGAAAAATTTGAACTAACCGCTGAAAGCCAGTCGACTTTTCGAGCGATACCCTTCCTCACAGCAAATATAAATGACAGTTTTGACAAACAACGTTCAACATGCTAAATCTGTGGCCCATTGATGTACGCCACTTCATATAGTTTTAGGGGCGGATCCAGGCCCGGGGGGGGGAGCACTTGGGTATTTTTCGGGTGGGTATGTGCCACCCGGGACTCCAAATAAGCACCCCGTTCTAAAAAAAATTCCCCCTAAAACTGATACCCCGTTCTAGAAATGGGCCAATTTTTTGTAGCCCGTTCTAGAATTCGCCCTAAAAATCTGATACCCCGTTCTAGAAATGGGCCAATTCTTTATACTCCGTTCCGTATGTTATGGAGTCATTCCAGACTTCCGCACGCCTATTTATCCAAGACAGCGGAGTCAGCGCTCGCGGCTCGCGCCAAAATACACCCGCCCTGCACGCTAAAACACAGGGTGCAACAAGAGTACAACAGTTTGCTTGTTAACGCATTGAACCGTATTTTTAAAAGCAATCTGTCCTTGAATAATTTCAAATGGCTGCTTACAAAACCAGGAGCCCAAACTTGAACTTTAGTGCGTTCGAAATATTAGACCCCGTTCTGGAAAATGCCTCTGAATTGGATACCCCGTTCTAAATCAGGAGCTTCAAAATCACGACCCCGTTGGGCGGCACATACTCGTATAGGTAATGTATGGGAGTACCCCCCCCCCCCGGATCCAGGAAATCAAATTTTTATTGGAGGGGTCCAAACTTTTGCTAACACCTAGCACCTCAAGGAAAGCGGTTTGGTTTTCCTCTTGTCTAGACGCGTCCTTTCATGTCTCATGACTTCCTCTCAGGAAACATCTTGATTATCTGGACGCCAAAATATCAATGGCTTCGCGCTTGACAAGAATTTAGAAAGATAGAGACTATATTAATAATATATTTCTTACATTCATGCATTTTTTGGCGTTTCGCATGTCGGTTTTTTCAATATGTGGCTTGCTTTATATATTTTTTTCAATTAAAATGCTTCAAAGGAAAATTGCCTCCCATCCTACTACTAATACTACTACCACCACTACCACTACCACTGCTCAGCTGACTGCTATGCTACTACTACTACTGCTACTGCTGCTGCTACTACTACTACTGCTAATAATGAAATTATGGTAAAATTGAGTTAATATATGCAGTATACTACCGAGGTACATATATTTACAAACTACGGAAGGAAGTCGAAAACTATATTCAATAGCTAAATGACGTTCAAGTCCACCTTGGCCTGAGAGAAATAAGTGCTTTTGCATTTCCATTTGAATGGTCTGTACCTTTTTTAACGCCTCTGGCAGATTATTGAAAAGTTTGGCAGCAAAGTCTTGGTGGTGAGGCACCCGACAAGATTAACTTCCTTGGAGGATCGTAGAATACGTTGTGGTGCGCTGCGCACCTCCGTCGAGTCCTGGGCCATGACGGCAATTTGTAGCCGTGAATGATATAGCAGCTCCGAGTCTCAAATGACTTAGTGTCTAACATTAGCTGTAACATGGCTTACAAAGTGTTTCACTAGACGCGGCAGGATAAGCTCCGTGGGTAATGCGCTTTCCTGCAGAGCGGGAGGTCGCAGTGCCGGAGGGCCGGACCAATACTCTGGGTCTTAAATTAACTAGGATATGATGGTTCAACGGTTAGACATTTGCTTGCCTTGAATCGCTCGAATGGCGGTCCCGACTCCAGACTTAAAAATTGTGTTCTCTTCGTGCTATAAACAAACTGACCCTCAACTAAAAAGAGTTTTTAAAACATATTTGAAGCCGATTTACCACAAAGCTAGTAGTGGCAAGTTTAACCCGAAGCAAATTTAACAATCGATAAGAAAATTAAGAATTTGGTGGTAAGGCGTAGGTGCAAGGAGGAACTAATACTTAATACTTTAATTTTCAGGGGAATGTCTTTGTTTTAATTTAGATTTTCCACGATCGAGCTTTCCTTATACCAGTCCTAGCAGTTTTTCTTGCATGGTTTTCAATTTTTCAGGTTTATGGCATCCGCAGTAAGATTTATTGGATTATTTTCAAGTCCATGAACGGGAGCTATCTGTTAAGCACCTTGTAAAACAGGTTCCTCTTCGCAGAAAACAGTTAAAACCCCAAAATTAACTTTTGACCAAATGATCATCTTATCAAGTAAGCCTAAAGCTTCGTATGAGGAGAGCACAATAGTAATAAAGCCTTGCTTTTGTTGAGCACGTTAACTCTTATTTTGAGTACCAGATCAGCTGACGAAACGTTTCGCCTTCTTGACAGCTTTGACCTCTTGGCCTAATTGGCCTCATGGTTTGAGGCAAACATCTCAAAGGTTAGAAGTTTTTCTGCAAAGTTTAAAAGACAGTCCAATGGATAGACCAAGAAATAATGATTGTTCTAACACGAGCTAGTTAAGGTACAAGAGAACGCGGGCGGAATTTGATCCGAACAGTTTTTGAAACTAGAAAGCGGGAAATGGGCCAAGACACGCAAGTCACGTCTTAAACCTGAAGACATCTGAATCGCATTCATGGTGTTATTTGAAGCTTTTTGAGAATAACGGATAAAAAAAGGCCTTTCGACCGATCTTCGGTCATTTTCAAGTAAGTAAAAAAACTTGAGTTAAAAGAATTAGCATAAATATGTGTAAGATGTAAAAATATGTTAAGAACTATAAAAAATGTTTGAAAATTATAAAAGAATGAAATAAAGCGTGCAGGAAAAAAAACAATGGAATCTGATTAAAAGAGTTATTTAAAAACTTTTGCACGAAGTGAGTCTGATTGCAGTACATGAAGACCAGGTCTCAGTTCATTAATAAAAAACATTTCAAACACCAGGCAGTCAAATTTGCTTTAAAACTTCTTTAAAATGCTAAAATTTTTCTCAAGATCTTTAGGTGCTGTCTTTAGGTGCTGAAGAATGTTTAACACGAAAGTGCTGGCCGATCGATGAACTTGCGCCTTTGAGTTCCTCAATTCGCTGGTGTAAGCGGCGAGACGGGTACCCAACATAACCTGCATCGCACAGGTCAGATTCAAATTTGTAAACAAGACATCGCTGGTTATCATTTTCAAACATTTTTCATAGTTGTTCTTAACATATTTTTACACCTTACTCATATATATGCTAATTCTTTCAACTATTTTTTTACTTACTTGAAAATGACCGAAGATCGGGCGAAACGTCGTTTTTTATCCGTGATTTTTACCTTGTTAAGTTTTAGAAACCCTTACTAATAAGAGTTTTTGAGAATAATAATTTGTTTTCCCACGGTTCCTGACAATCTTTGTGAACAGACGAATGTTTTACCAGTACAACCTATTTACACGGAACCGCGCGTGCAATTCTGTTTCAGATTGCAGCACAATCACGCCATTAAAAACTTTCATGGTTCCGAGGGTTCCGTGTCAAAGAAGGGCTGATATCCGTGCAAGTCTTTGTCGATCCGTTCTAAAATTTCTCCGCACCCGCGTAAACGTGATCTCAGCAAAAAAGCTATATATATCCATTGGAATTTTAGTCTGTTGGTTTTGTTACTAAAATTGGCGTTGCCAACAATTATTACGTTTTGTGGTTTCGGATAAAATATAAGATAAATAATTAAAACCGACATAAGCTCTCTGATGACAAAAGCTTCTGTTCAGATGCCAAAAACTTTGACATATTGTTACGAAATTGCTGTTGCTGGTTTTATTAAATGTAGCACCATCAAGAGACTAATCACATGCCATCTTAGCTTCGCACGTATCGGAGCAGGCCTCGAAGGTAAGAAAAATTTGTCTTTTTACCTTGTAACTTGTTGTCTTTTTTGTTCTTACTTCTTATTCGCTTACGTTGGCAGGGGCACCCAACGACAGTTTCCTCCAAAATACGTTGAGAAGACTTTTTAGGCTATCCAGAGTCTTTTTAGATCTCTAGAAATGCGTTCTAAGCGGTGTTATAAAACTATTATCTGTTCGTGGTCGGTTATCCTAGGGGAACCCGAGTCTTTTCGAAATTACAAGGGCTTCTGTATCATTTTCCCGAAAATTTTAGGTGCAATTCAACGTTTTATCAAAGAGAGAATTTTTTTCCTCTCTCCACCACATTTCAGAATCCGAAAATTTAAGGTTTCCTTTTTCTGCAGAAAATAGTGTAACTTGGTTAGTAAAATATGAAAAATTAAACTTAAGAAACTTCGCAGGGAATTTATTAGATAAGCTTGGAAAATTGTACATGGATGGAACGTTCATCTACAAATTTTTAGCCGTCCTCAAGCAAAAGAAAGTTCTAGGCAATATTTGCTTCTCCGAACAGATATTTTACCGAAAACAGTAGTTGGGTACTCCTGCGTTGGAAGGGCTTATTCCAACTTATTTAAAGAGTGATTTTCCTGAAACTATTCATTTTAGGTGCCAGTAGAAAGAGTATTTGATATAAAATAATGTCTTAACTTGAAAAAATTCGTACAGTGCAAAGACTGCTCAGTACATCGTTTAATATACCTCACACACATAAAGCAAAAAGCACGTTTACTTTAATAAGATGCGGTTCTCAAGTTCTTGCAAATGGAGATGAAAAAAGTCGTTTACGTTCATTCACACCCTATAGCACTTAAAATCTTCCCGCGCTTCAGAACCATTGTTAACTTGAGTGTGCTGGGTATCAGTAACGACCTGCCCAAATATGTTGTAGATTTTGGCAATCCTCTTGAGCCCGACCCTGCCTGCTTAAGGTTATGATAAAAT